CGATATATACTTCAAGATATAAAAGTGGGAGAATACTTGTGTTCATTAATTTTTTAGTGGTGAAAAGTGTTTTGATATCAAATATTTTTATTTTTTCTCAGACAATCCGTGCTTGAACTTTAAACGTCAGACAATGGTCGGAAAAACAGCGATCGGTATCGATCTCGGAACCACGTATTCTTGCGTAGGTATCTGGCAACATGGCAAGGTGGAGATCATCGCCAACGATCAAGGTAACAGGACCACACCGAGTTATGTGGCATTTACCGACACGGAACGGTTGATTGGCGATGGGGCCAAAAACCAGGTGGCGATGAATCCCAAGAACACGGTGTTCGACGCTAAACGGTTAATTGGCCGTCGTTTCGATGACGAAAAGACGCAAGCGGACATGAAACATTGGCCGTTCGCAGTGGTGAACGACTGCGGTAAGCCGAAGGTACAAGTGGAGTTCAAGGGAGAGAAGAAAGTGTTCGCGCCGGAAGAAATCAGTTCGATGGTGTTGACGAAAATGAAGGAGACGGCGGAAGCGTACTTGGGACGAACCGTGACGGACGCGGTGATCACAGTGCCGGCGTATTTTAACGATTCACAGAGACAAGCGACTAAGGACGCGGGCACGATAGCCGGTCTGAACGTGATGAGGATAATCAACGAGCCGACGGCGGCTGCATTGGCTTACGGTTTGGATAAGAGTCTGAAAGGTGAGAGAAACGTGTTGATATTCGATCTTGGCGGTGGCACGTTCGACGTGTCCGTGCTACAGATCGATGAAGGTTCGATATTCGAAGTCAAGTCAACGGCCGGAGACACTCATTTGGGTGGTGAGGACTTCGACAACCGGTTAGTGTCGCATCTGGCAGATGAGTTTAAGAGGAAATTCAAAAAGGACGTGCGCAGCAACCCTAAGGCGCTGCGACGGTTAAGGACTGCTGCGGAACGGGCCAAGAGAACGTTATCATCCAGCTCGGAGGCCACCATAGAGATCGATGCCTTAATGGAAGGCATCGATTTCTATACCCGGGTGTCTCGGGCACGTTTTGAGGAGCTGTGCGCGGACCTGTTCAGATCGACCCTGCAACCGGTGGAGAAAGCGTTGGCGGATGCCAAGTTGGATAAAGGTTCGATACACGACGTGGTACTCGTGGGCGGGTCCACGAGGATTCCGAAGATCCAGAGTCTCCTGCAAAACTACTTCTGCGGCAAACCGCTCAACCTGTCCATCAACCCCGACGAAGCGGTCGCGTATGGCGCCGCCGTACAGGCAGCCATTCTGAGTGGTGACACCAGCTCGGCCATACAAGACGTGTTGCTCGTGGACGTGACCCCTCTGTCGCTGGGTATCGAAACTGCGGGTGGTGTTATGACAAAGATCGTCGAGCGTAACTCGACCATTCCATGCAAACAGACGCAGACGTTCACTACGTACGCGGACAACCAGCCGGCCGTCACCATCCAGGTATTTGAAGGAGAACGGGTCATGACCAAGGACAACAATCTGTTGGGAACATTCGATCTGACTGGCATAGCTCCGGCTCCCAGAGGTGTGCCTAAGATCGACGTGACTTTCGATCTGGACGCTAACGGTATATTGAACGTGTCGGCAAAAGACAACAGTTCCGGTCGGTCCAAGAATATTGTCATCAAGAACGACAAAGGCCGTTTGTCCCAAGCCGAAATCGATCGAATGCTCAGCGAAGCGGAACGGTACAAAGAGGAGGACGAACGGCAAAAGGAAAAGATCGCAGCCAAGAATCAGCTTGAAAGCTACGTATATAATGTAAAACAAGCGTTGGACGACGCTGGTGACAAGTTAACCGAATCCGAAAAGAATGCCTGCAAACAAGAATGCGACACAGTCATTCAGTGGTTGGAAAACAATCAGTTGGCCGACAAAGATGAGTTCGAGTATAAATTGAAAGAAATCCAAAAGAGTTGCTCGGGCCCGATGATGAAGTTACACGGAGGACATACCGGAGGACCTCAAATGCCGACTGGTGGTGCCGGATTCCCTGGATCACATTCTCAAGGACCTACCGTTGAAGAAGTCGATTAAATCCGTCAATATGCATGATCGTGTTTATATGTACCATCATTTCTATTTTTTTTTTTTAACAAGATTTTTTTTTATCAATTTTTTTTTACATATTTATTTTTTTTTATATTTATCATGTATTGTTAATTTTTTTTAATCGTATATATTTTCTATTTTTAATGTATAATTGTATTTATTTAGTATATTAAATATTTTTAATTTATTTTCGCGAAAATAAATTAGTTATATAAAATTAAAAATCGACATTAGTTTTTATTTTACCCTTTTGTTCATTACTTTACTTTTTATTTACTTGAATACCATAAGTGTCGTCCAGCATTAAAATAAAATTGAGTATTTTCTATATTGGTAATGATAATAATTTGAAATAAAATTCAATGTGATAATGATATGAAATAGGTAAAGTTACTGCAATTTGGTGTATGATCACTGTAATCGAGAAATGGACCCAGATAGAAGCAAACCATGAATAATAAATAGCTTAAAAGAATTCTAGTATTTATTGATTAATTATACTACTAGAACGATCAGATAATTTATGATGATTATTTATTAATTTAATAAGCGGCTTGTAAGCACTTACTACCGAGGCAGTGCCCCGGTAAAAACATTTTTTATGTGCATTTTGGTTAAATAGAATTAAAATTGAATAGACATACCAGTATATGAAAATATTTGGAGGTACATAATTTACGTTTTAGCATTCAAGTAGTTTTAATGTGATACGAGGAACAATTTTTTCAGGGTAGGGTGGTTAAATTAAACTACCCCGGTAAGATATAAACGTTCAAACCGTCTCTAATCAAAACGTTTAGTTCTTTTCGGTACTCGTTATAATTTTTAAATTGTATGTAACATACTTTTTCTTTTATAAGTCAATCAGAATTTCATTTATTTTTTTTTTTTTTTTATAAAGTACTTCATCCAAAATTTATATAATGTGAGTAAAATAATTTTTCAAATCACATTTGTTTTTCACAAAATTTGTGACAAATTTAAACTATAATGACGCGTGGTCCCGTTTTCGAGTTTTCATATTGTTCAACTCTATGTTAATGATTTATTAATATAGAGTTGAATTAATAATAATAATCCCATTGTTTGTTTCGAAAAATAAAAAATCTGTCTTTAAGTTAAAACTTTAAAAATAAAATATTCTTTTTTGGAAAAATATGATTTATTAAATACTGAAAAAACAAATAAAATTAACAGTTTATAAAACTATAAATTTTTTCTTTATTAAAGGAATTATAATATAATTAAATTAATCCTAATCTTTAAAATACATTCCCGTATGTAGGCCTGAGGAAAATTGCCGCTCTAAATAACTAAAATAATATACCACACCAACTGAATTATCTTTTAATTACCTACTATAATATATATATATATACAAATTAACTAGATAAATAAGCAAAAAAAAATTTATTTAAATACTAAAATATAATTTTTTAAGATTTCAACCATTTTTATTAATAATTAATAGGTAACAATTAATAACAATAACATTCTTCATATTTGCCGCCGTAGGCACGTGCCTACACGTAAATATTGTATTTATATGTAGATATTATTGGATAAGTGGTGTTACCTCCTAGTTCATAAAAATTTTCAACCACGGTGTGGAGAAGAATCTTTTCTACACCGTGTTTCCAATTTAATGTTATAATTTTCTCAGTGATTCATTATTATCTGGAACGAAACGTACAGTTGATGAGAAACTTATTGATTTAAGAGTTGAATCACTAAATCAAATCATTGGAATGGACTGAGTCAAGTGAATTGAATCGAAATTCCCAACCGTGGGCGGTATTGCACCAAATGGTTTCAAGTGCTACGGACCTACGGCGAACCGAACATTAACATCGAAGTTCAATGTCGACCCTATACATGATTGAAATTGATCTGAAGTGTAATCGGAGTACAGTCACATAATAGATCAATTGCATTATGTTGTTATTTACGTGTTACGTTATTTATGACGCTGACGTGCGGGTCTCCGTTGCTCTTTAAACTATTCACGCAATACCTTATCACATCTTATCATTAATCAATAGCAGTCTAGTGAAGGGAATAATCGAAAGATTAATATTCGATAACAAAATAATCGAATGGTTTTTTTTTTTATCTCACTACCTGTTTACTACAGACTACTTTATAATCATTGGTTTTATAAGTATAATTATTGGTATAGTATAAACATTGATTAAATATACTTATTAGTATATACTTATACTGCTATATTTAATCAATGGTATAAATGAACAATATAATACAATTAGGAAACTCTCAGTTGAAGTAGTACCTATCAACTACTTTTTTATAATCTTCCGAATAGATCATCATTGAATTACCTATTTCATGTATCAAGGTAGAAAATAAAAAATATAAAATAGAACAAATATTTATCATAAGTACTTAATTATAAAATACAAAATAATCATAATATAAAATAAATAGGCACCATAAATATAAAATATTTCAAACTGACACAATATTAAAAACTGAATTATGTACATATAAAATATTAATGATAATTTGGAAACTGCGTTTTCCATTGCGAAAAAAAAATGTTAATTTATAAAGCAAAATTTAAATTACTATTTAAAAATACAATATAATCTCAATTTTTATGGTGAAGTCTGTTCAAACGGTCATTTTTTATTTGTCCCATTTTTAAAAACACGCGTTATGATGGACCAAAGTCGAGGGAAAATCTTAATTGTAGCATATAAAGTTCAGGAAATGTATTTTTGTGTTTTTTTATATATCTGAAGGTTTTACTATTAATTTTATCGTATGAATGTCTTATTCGATTGATTCGTTCAAATAATTCATTCGTTTATTTTATTATTCCAATGATTTTTAAAATAATCGAATTGTTTCGATTACTCTAATAATCGAATGATTCGATTATTTCATTCGATTATTTCTATCAGTCACTACAGATATTCATTATAATAGGTACACATATGTAACGTACCTTTCGCGAATTAAAAAATTAAGTACCTATTTCCATGTACAAAATTTGTTTTGCATTATTTTGACACTTGAATCTCTGATCTATAGTCATTTTATTTTATTGTATAATTCGTTCCGTTTTATGATCATCTAACCGAACGTTTCATGAGTGATTGCGTTTAATTTAAATAGTAAACATGAATCGTAACCATCCTGATGTAGAAAATGTTGTACTAACGCCAGAGAAAAGGATTCAAGAACTGTCACGGTTAAGTTCGAAAATCGAGTTGAACACTTCCATTGCTGCTAGGAAGTGCGGTTTCACCATTTTTATCATATATAATTATTCAAATACAATAGAAATCTTTTATAATGACATTAAAAAGGTCTGGTAAAAAAAAATTAAATAAATAAAAGATTGTTGTCTTATCTATTATGCTTTTCTGAATGATGAATCAATTACTAAACATATTTTTGAGGCCATTAAATGTTATTCAAACTAATAGACATAACGTGTCTTTATAAATATTTTCTATTGTATAAATTTCAAAGTATTCATAATAATATTACAAGTATATTATAGATATTACCGGTCAGGCCGAGAGATGATCAGTATGGCTGAAGTATATTTAAAAGAAAACAATTTAGAACAAGCATATATTCTGTACATGCGATTTATGACGTAAGAATATAATATTTACTTTATTTACAATCTTAGTAACTTTAAAAATCTAAAAGTGCATGTTTTAGATTTGTTATTGATTTTTAGTATCTACTGTACAAATGGTATAATAAGATAATATTGAGTTATCTAAAATATTGTATCTATAATATATATATTGAGCCTTAACAATAGTATAGAACTGTACTTTATGTAGAAGATTGACATATAATACCGAGCATCTATCATTGCACATACTGACAGCCAAGTCTGGATAGGCTAGATGATTTACCAAGAAAAATTCAGTGGACCAGATAAATTTGAGCTATTTTATAGAGTAATTTGTCGGCCAGTAAAGTGCAAGTTAAGTGATCGATTTTGGTTAATATATATAAATAATTTAGGTAAAGTCTCTTTATATTTTACAAAATGTCCATTTATGAAACTATAAAAGGTTGATTAAAAACGTATAACTTGTTAGGTACTTTCTCTAACCGACATTTCCTACATTTATATTATGCTCTTATATTTTTCTATAATTTAATATAGTGAATATTATATTTATATTTTTATTAGTTCCAAATTTTAATATGAATTTATTTTAGATTATATATTGTAAATAAAAATATAAATATATTGTTTAACTGTAAAAGTATATTGTATCTATGTTCATATTCATATTTTATATACAACCAAATTATATGTTAACTGTTTTTAATGTCGTATTTTGCAGTTGTATTTCTTATTATATTATTACTAGTTATTTCTTCTTATTGTAGTTTTAATCATAATTGATCCTAGATATTATGTTATAGTATTTCACATTTATTATAATTATTTACATAGATTTAGTTAGTTTTTCATTATAAATAAAATAAAATTCAAGCCCTAGTTTTTATTATAAAATTAAGGAAACTATGAACGATATATATCATTGAACATTGAAATTTGTTGTATATTTATAACTATAATTTATTATGAAAGTCTATGAAATGGAGATAAAATGGTGGTATATGTGTGGTAAAAAAAGTTTTGACTTGTGAATATCATAATTTTTTTCCTAGTGGCTGTTTAACTTAAATAATCATTCATAAATAAACTTTTTAAAATTGGAATTTAAATTTTTAAATAATTAAGGAACTGAGATAAAAGGATTCATTTAAAAAATAATAATAATAATATTCATTTAAAATAACTATCATTGAATTTGTCATTATGAAAAACATTTTACAATAAGTTTATTTATAAATGGGTTCATATTAAAATTGTCATTCTATATATTATTTGTATATGACATATTTTTTATTGTTTATTTTATAGATTATTTTTGGAAACTATTAATGAACATCCTGATTACAAAAATGTACCAATTGAAGAACGTAAATTAAATTATCAAGCACTTCGTGATGTTCTACCAAAAACAGAAAAAATAAAAATAAAATTATTAGAGCAATACAATAATGAATATGAACTCTACACCGAACGAAAAGTAAATTTAATTTGAAAATTATTAAATTTAATGTTAATAATATCTTAAATATATGTTTAGATATTACAAGCTTCAATTTGTTTTGGGTAAAAATAGCTTCATAAATATTGAAATTTATTTTATGATTGCCTAAAATTAAAAAAAATATAGAGCAGTGATGCATAATATTTTTAGCACTTAATATTATATAGATTTAATAATATTTTAGAATCCTAATGCCTCTTATATTAAAATCCAATGTTATCAGAGTTTGAAGTATTCAAAATTTATAAAAAAAACAATGGGTGAAAATAATTTGACTATTTAATAAAAATAAACTAAAATAAATAGTACTAATAGTATTTAAAATTATTAATAAGTAGTTTTAATATTCAAGCTTAAATTTATAATTTGTTTTAATCTTTAATATAAATAATTATTTATTTCATCTATAACACTAATAAAATTAAAATTAAATTAAAAAATGTATACTAATAAAAGTATATAAATCACAATTATTTAAATCAATATATTAGTTTCTAAAGTTATTAAAGATTAAAATAATAATAAAATAAAAAATAAATTTTATGTAGAATTTTCTGTATCCAACATCTGATCTATTGAATATATTACATTCAGCATGAAATTGTTGATGCAGTTTTACTTCTCAAAATTATTTATTGAAATAATAACACAAGACAAGAGTTTAGCATAACAATATTGCTCAAAATCTAAATTTTTAAAATATTATGTAATATAATTTATTTAAATTTTTCTCTGTTATACTATTAAATTTACAATTTTTGTATTATTAATACTTTATTATTAATATGGTAATTATTTAAACTGATAACACAATGTTTCAGAGAACATCGGTTTATACATTTTTAAACTATTAAGAAATTCTTGAAAAATTCTAGGCAAATGTTCACCTTATTGTTAAAATTATAAATTGTGTTAGCTATGTCCTGCATTTTTATTTTTATTTAAATGTTGTTATGAGGGCTCTGAATTTTTTGAGACTAGAATACTAGATAAGTAAATTTTAACTTTAATTAATACATTTTATTTTCAAATTATGTGTAATAATATTTTTTTATGTACTGCTCATTTTAAGTAGGTAGTACTTGATTTTACATATATTTTTATTCTTCATTATATTTCAGTTTTTTTTTTCAATTTTATAAATCATTTTTTGTGTAAAATTATATTAGAAAATTTAGTTAAATTAGAATTGAATATAATTTCATCATATAAATTATTTTATCAAACTATAAACAATTTTAATATAACTTTATCAGCAATATTCGAAAAGCTAATAAATAAAGTATGTAACTTACCGAAGCCTATATTTTAAGGTTGATACTTTTTTTTTTAATTATGTAATTTAAAGAAGTATTATATTTATTTTTTATAACTGTCAAAATCATAATTATGCTCTAAGTGCGAACATTTAAAATTGAAATTATTATTATTTAGATAATTTTAATTTTCAATCAAACAATAACTGAATGACACATATTTTGAAATTTTTTTTTACCTATTTTGACTTTATAAATAAAATTTAAACCTTAGTTTTTAGTATAAAAATAAGAAAACTATAAAATATATATATAAATATAGTTAAACATTGAATTTTAAGAAATTAAATTTATTTATAACTTAAGTAATGAGTTGTTTAAAATACCATTTGAAAAAATTAAGTTTGTGATAAATCAATGAATAAAAATCAAATATATGTATGTAAATATTAGAAACATTTTAAATTGTTACTTTTAAATAGTAATTTGTTAGTTATTGATGATAATTTTTTTCCAAAATTATTGTCATATAAATATCAAAAATATTAACTTTTATTTTAATATTATTTTAGAAATAATTAATTGTATTATGTTTATCTGGTATCTATTTTAATAATTGTTTATTTCAAGAAACATATTATTAGTAGGTTTAATGTATGGCATATTAATCTTATTATTATGTTAATAGGCATTACAAGAGTTCAAAGAAAAACATGAAAAAGAAGTATTAAGTAAAGAAAAAATTAATAAATCACCTGGGTTTATAAAGGGTGTTTCACAAGAACAGTCAAATTCAGTTATAAATAATGTAACACCAGAAGTAAATTATATCAACCTAAGAAATGATTATTCATCATTAGAAACAAGGTATGGGTGTATTAAATAGTACTTAATAATTAATATCGATTAATACTACCATCTCACTTTATATTCTTGTTAAAATGATCATTGCTTGGTTATATTATTCTGATGTCATCCTCCTCATAAATTCCAGTTCTATATGAGTTATTTCTTTAATTTTATTTATAGCTTAGCTAAAATTAAATTTTATTAATAAATCTAATTCTACTTCTCAATATAATATTAATATAGTATTTTAACAAAATAAAAACTTTGCTATAACGTCAAAATATGAAAGTAAGTAAAAAAAAAATTTAAAAAAAAAAACTGATATAGAGATAAAAATTATTAAATTAAAAGTTTATATTAACTTTTGTTTATAATTTATAATATAATATTTAGCAATTGATATAAATTAATTTGTTTAAAATTATTTTTAGACCATTAAATCAAAACTTAATTACTCTTAACGAACTAAATGATAATATTGCTTCATCAAGTATACCTGCTTATTCAAATTCACAAATACAATTCAATACGTAAGTAATTATTTAGTTTGTTATTTTAGACTTAAAAAAACATTTATTGATAATTAAATTATTTAGAACAAAGATATTTTGTAAAAATATATATAATTAAAAAAATAAAAATACCTCTGTACAATAAACAAAAATGTGAATAAAAAACTTAGGTATATATATTATTTATTGAAAGATCTTTTATTTAATATTAAATATTTGAGTTGTTATTAGTTTGTGTTTATAAATCAATGAAATTTTTATCTAAAGTACTTCACCCATCTGTAGTCTCTACTCATACTTATGTTATTATTTTATATATTTTAACTGGTCACATTAAACTACATTCCTATAATAAGATTATATTTAATAAAATTTTATTAATGTATTTGTTATCAGTTTTGATGGGTAATGGTTATTGATTATTCTGATCACTTATCCTTATTGGCATTTACTTTGGTTAATTATTTATTATTAGTTTTTAAAATTTAAAATCAAATTGTGTATTATTATATATTTAAATAACTTTTATTGTTTATTATTGCTTAATATCAAAGAAGTACATAAGTACATGTTTTTGTGATCTGAGCTATTATGATTAAATTATTATTTATCTACTTTATAAAATAAATTATAATATTTATTTTAAGTTATTTTGAAGAAACCTCAAAAAAAAATAAATAAATAAATAAATAAATAAAAAAATAAAAAAATACACATATAATATATATGTATTTTTTGGTCTATTTATTTTTAAATTTATTTAAATAATATTATTATTATTATTATAAATACATATTCTTACACTATTTTTACTTTTTAAAATTACTATGGTATTATTCTAATTTGTTCATAAGGCAATATATACCATAATATGGTCATATTAATGTTCTTAAGTTTAAAAAAATTAATTCAAACAATACATTTACATAGTTAATACAGTTTTTGGAACTATTATGAATGTAATAGTAAAACAATATATTGTAAGTTTAAAAAAAAAAATCAGAAATTATTGAAATTTAATGAGTATTAAAATAGTGAACTCTAATGTTTGGGATGTATAGAATAAACTTAATGGTAAATGATACTGCATAATTGCTTAGAAATTAATTTACTTAATTTTAATTTATGAATAATAAAAACTGACTTAATTAAGTACCCAAACAATATAATTTCTTTGATTTTAACAGAAGAATAACATTTTTGATATTGTATTTTTACTTGATAGTTATTTTTTTAAATTATTCTTGTTGATTATTCAATAGTGATTGATTACATTATTTCTTTAAAATATTTCTATTGATAAATTATATTTGTTGTTTGTTTTCATTAAATGAAAATGAGCTCAAGCAAAATAATGAAACAGTATTACTAATTAATAATCATTGATGTCAGTTTAAATTTTGGCCACAGCAAATTTTTTTTTCCAGGGGAATAGAAGCTTCTGCTTAGAAAAAAAATGCTCATCACCTGTTGACCCATGATCTAATACTAATTATATATTCAATATGAAAATAATAATAACATTGGAAGTGTTATATTTTAAGACTCGGTTTTTAAATTAGTTTTTAATTATGTTATAGAGATAGGCCTATTGTTGATAGAAGTACCAAACCAATGTTATACAAGAACTCTCCGGGTCCTTATAATCTTCGGTGTATAATAGTTCCATGCAATTTAACTAAACGATTTCTTGAACATGCACAAAGTAATACGTTTAAAAATTTAGAGACTTGTGGAATACTAGCTGGAAAATTGGTAATTTTCTGTTAAAATAATATTTATATAAGCGTATAATATTTTCTATTTACATTGATAGCTTTATAGATTCTTGATGTAAATATATTTATTACATATATGATGTATGCATATTATTTTATTATAACTATTTTTAGAGTTCTAACTGCTTGATCATAACACATTTGATGATTCCAAAACAAAGTGGTACGTCAGATTCATGTACTACAATGAATGAAGAGGATATTTTTGAATTTCAAGACAGACAAGACCTTATTACTTTAGGATGGATACATGTAAGATTTCGTCAAAATTTGCTTTTTTTAAATTGGTATACAACAGTGTTTCTCAAAGTGGGTAATATTTCTCTCTTGGGGGTGCTAGAGCTATTCAGGGGAACAATGGAAGTTATAAGCTTAATTGGGGGGCATTTCATTGCAAAAAGGGCTGTGACAGTTTTATCTGTCATTATTGCAACCAATCTCATTAAGATATTTTTTTTTAATTGTACATAATATTATACATTATACATAATATTATATTTATAAACAATACATTTTATTTTTCATTGAATACTTTTGTAACAATATTTTTTTTAAGGGGGAGTCTGTCGGATTTTTTTTTTTAGAAGTGGGCAGTACAGATAAATAGTTTGGGAAACACTGGTATACATAGTTAATACAATATGAATAATATATTATTAATCATATTCAACAGACTCATCCCACACAGACTTCATTTATGTCAAGTGTAGACTTACATACACACTATTCATATCAATTAATGATGCCAGAAGCCATTGCAATTGTTTGTGCACCTAAATATAATGAGTAATATTAACCTTTTATGTTTTGGTGTTTTAATTTTTTAACAACAATTATATTTAGGTCTAATTTTTTCTTCTTAACTCCATATCACGGGTTACAAGTTATAGCCGATTGCAAATCAGTCAGTGGTTTCCATACCCACAACACAGATGGAGATATTTATGCTGTATGTATTTATATATTTTCATATTTTTGTATAACATATAACATTATTATTATTTAAAGCAAATATTTTATAAAGTATATATTTGTTTTTTAGGTTGCAGAACACTATGTATTGGATGATAACTTATTAGTCAATGTAGTAGATTTTAGATGAAATTATAAAAGATTTTGAAGAACTTGTTATTACATTCTGTTGAAAATAGTTTAATGTGAATTAAATGTAAATGAAGGTATTAAAATATTATACTAAAAATTGTTATCTGTAGAGTTGTACATTTTGTTAATACAAATAACTTGTTAATCTTTATATCTCTGATATTATATTTATGATTTTATTTATTGTTACTTTTATTCAGTGATTAATTAATTTATATACTTTACTTTAATGAATATATGGTAAAATTCACACAAGACCATATACTATTTAAGATAATGGAATGTAGTTTGGAAGAAATGTAACTCAAAATGTCATTTTAATAATAATTGTAAAAATAAATAGTTACGGTAATAATATTAAATTAGTATAATAATTAATAAGATTAGTAAGGTTTATAATGATATAAAAAAAAATGTTGGTTTACATTACCCAACTTAGGCTGGGCAATGTATAATTTTTCTTACATTGTCCATCATAATCAGGCATTACCATAATGCCTGGACAATATTTACATTACCTGAAAGTTGACTTTGCCCGTAACATGAGCCAGTAGTTGCAAATGATATAATATTTACATATTATTATTTTTTTTATATACTTTTTTTTGCTCTCCATACCAATAATGATAAGAAAATATTTTTAATGCATGTTGAAAGTTAATAGTATAAATATTTAATCATGCCCTATTAAATGTATAAACGTTATACACTATCATTATATGTGGTTAGTAGCAATCAACTATAAAGTTATAAGTACTGTAAATAAAGTATACATAGCTGAATTATTTTTGTCTAAATTATATAAATATACTCAATACAGTAATTTTTTCATTTTGATAAAGGCATAATGATAAATAAAATTAGTTATACTCAAGGCTGTCTTAAGCTATGCAGGGACCCATGGGCATCTGGAACTTAGGGATGTTTTTAATAAACCAAAAAAAGGTGAGTAAAAACATCAAAAGCTTATTTTGTATGATGACTTTTGTCTAGTCGGAAGTTATGAGTTATTAATTTTAAAGAAAAATCTTTTAAAGTAATAGGATGAAAAATAAAATATATCTATTGCAATCGCACACAGTTAAATGTTCATTATTTATTTGATATTAACATTTTAACATTGCTATTTATCTAAATTTTTTTTTTATAGACAGTCATATTAATACGTAATAGATTAAAATTCAATGTTGTAATTTCTATTATTCGGGGTCTCCAGCCAGATGGGGGCCTTGGGCACGTGCCCCAAGTGTCCATAGGTGTACTATATTGTAAGCAACACACAAATTACGACAACGTTTGGATACAAAGTGATCTTTATTATACATTTTTAAGGTTATGTAAGAAAATGATAACACATCATTACAATATGGTTAAGATGGTACTGGTATTCTCAATCTATACTTATTACTAATACTAATACCCTCCCGAAATTTTCAAAAGTAGAAACATTTTAGCGGTGAATATAGTTTATTAACTATAAATTGTATTAAATAATAATGTTAGACCCCCCCCCTGAAATGTTTTTCCAGTTACGGCCTTGCTGCAGACTATCTTCGTGGCACTGCCTGAGTAGTTCACGATAATCGGCAAGCGCATATATTATCCATTTAGATATAAAAGATATATATAGGCGTCAACAAGCATATTTATCATCTTGTCGGTAGTATTCATCCATTGATATAAATCCAGTGCTCGGCTTTGGAGGAGGCACAGGAGGACGGAGTACTCCAACTAGTTTTTAGACATTTTTGCATCCTTCTACTATTAATACGTTATAATTATAACGCTTAACAAGTTTTGGGGACGCTAATTGTTTTTAAAGTAAACAGAGTCCCCTTCTTTAATTTTGCCAAGTCGAGCACTGTATAAATTCACTCCTACCTATATTACATCATACACATTAAAAACGAAGTCAAGTACACCACCAGTTTGTAATGTAATGAAAATATTATAATATTATAAAAGAATAAAGAAATTAGTATAAAGAACAAGTATAGAACGAGCAGTTCTCAAGCAAATTTAAATAATTTAATTGTTATGTGTTCAGAGAGTATTGTATTGGAGGTAATTAATATCGATTATATAATTAAAGGGTTTGCTTTCCAAAAAGAAAGAAAAATTAATTTATACAAATAAATTTTTTATTTTTGTATTAAAAAAAAAGCAAGAAATAAATTTATAAATTAGAATAAAAATTTTTTTATGTCTCTGAAATATATTTATGTGTCGGTCATCAATATTTTAATTATGGTTGTGGGCCCTTAAAATTGTTTGGTCCCGGGCCCCAAATTATCATAATCCGGGTTTGGTTATATTTGTAGATAGTTATATTCTAACATGGGCTATTGAATAATAATTTTAGTAAAAATCGTTTTGAAACTTAAATGGAAGTGTATAAAAACTTTTTCAACTTTAACAAATCTTAGTATTGCATCGGTTAATGTTATTCATAACTAAAATTAATAATTTTAAATAAAAAACATTCACATTTAAATAATATTTTTTGGCAGCATATTGCGATAGGAGCAACGATGAGACAATCCATGTCCAATATTACCTCATATTATACATAATCTATGTCCGATATCACTTGTCTTATTCTATTTATGTTTGTAAAATATTGTCATCCTTACAAATTATATTTTTATAATTCCTGTCCATTGTATATATTAACACTAATAAAATATATAAATAAATAACTATATATTTTTTTTAATTATTAAAATGCAATTAATTATTGAAATATTGTATTTGTTCTTTTTATTATAGTAAACAGCTGAAATCTAGAAACCGATCCTGAGTGAAACGAACGTACGGATGACAATCACTTATCTACTTACTCCCAGAAACAACGGTACGTCGTTTTTATTTTGAATAACTGTAATTATAATTAAATCAATTCATTTTTTATTTTTTTGTTACTATTTTATTTTTTTATATTTAACTCATTACCTTTTTAAACTTACAATGATTAAGTACTTTCGATTATGTACATTATATTTTTTCATTACTTAAATCAATTTTTGCATTCAATATTCATTTAAATTATTTACACTCTAAATTTATAAATTTAATAGTATTGGTAATTTTTTTTATTATTATTAAATATATTTTTTGGTTTCGTCTGCATAAGTAGTCTCTAGACTTCTGGATAGCCCTTTTCATTTTTTTATTTTGTCATTAAAGCATTAATTTTTGTTGTAATTTAAAGTATCATGTTTTTAATAATATTTACTTATGTTTTCTTTAGTACATAAATATTGTTTAAAATTACAATATAAATTATATTTTCCTCGGCCTCCAGGCACCAGAAAACTAAGTCTTTTTTAACGTACTTCTTTTATCACGATTGAGAAGTACATATTCATAAATATTATTTATTGTTATAAGACATGATTTTTAATATTTAATCTATATTTCAAATAACAATGCATTATTACATTTGTACATGGTAGTATTCTAATATGAGCAATAGCCTAATAGTTTTACTAAAAATCGTTTTGAAACTTAAATGAGTGTATAAAATCTATTACAAATTTAACAGACCTCAGTATTCCATCGGTTAAAGATTAAAAATTAATTGTTGTAAATAAAAAAACATTCACATTTAAATATTATTTTTTGGCGGTACACCGCGGATGGATGAGACAGATATTCTATGTCCAATGTTACTCGTATTATTCTATTTATATTGTAATGGACACTATACGTGCACTTATTTACAATTTACGTAGGTTGTTCAAAAAGTAATGATAAAAACGTTATACAAAAAAAAATATTTATTTTATCATCCATATTTACATGCACTTTTTCAAAGTAATCTCCCTTGGATATAATTCACTTTTTCCATCATTTTGCCACTTTTTAAATACGAATGCCAGTCCATCATTCTCGAGCTCTTTGCACCGTGCTTTCACAGCTTTGATGAGCTCCCGATTGCTGTTGAATTTCTGACCCCTGAGTGGATACTTGATTTCAGGGAATATCCAGAAATCACATGGAGCTAAATTTGGACTATACGATGGGTTACAGTTTTAATGCCACGAGCGTTTAAAAAAATCACTATAATATTGGTGACGTAGGGCCGTGCATTATCATGATGCAGTAACATTTCATTAATTTTCTTATGCGGTCGCTTTATGTTGAAATGACGCAATATCGTGGTTAAAACCGATTTATAATAATCCGTCGTGACTGTTCGGCCTTGGAGGACAGCGTGTTATTTGACACCATACACTGTAGTTAATGATTCATAAACATTTTTTCGGTTCTTTCCAAGTTTCACTAAAAATTTCAAGTTACAACGTTTCTCTGACTTATTATCCATACTGGAAATGGTAGGCGAATATCTAACACTCATTATACAAATTGACACATTTGATCACACACGTCCACTCACTACACCGATTGACTTGTAACTCGGCATATAGATAGATAAGATAATGGACTATACGATAGTATGCATTAAGAAGCAGCTTTTACAACAAATATTTCCTCAGCATCATTTTTTGAACAGCCTACGTATTTATTTACTCGGATTAATTGGGAGTCAACTTTTTAGTCAACTATTTTAGTCGTACTAACTACAAATAATTGACCAGGATTCGGTGTTATGATAATTCTATAAAATTATTGATATGACATAATCGAGAGAATCTACAATGTTTTAATCATTTTATACAATATTGATTATAATAAATATTAATGTAGTTATAATTTAACTCGGCAAATGTCAACTAAAGAAAAAAAATAGTAATTTCGCGGAGTAATTATATAATCTTAAAGTCTCATTCACAATTATAACTATTCGTTTATGTATTCATGACTTAGGAGTGTATTTAGACTTACTTCTAGGGAGAGAGGCGACTCACATTTTTTCTTTAATTCAAGCTTAAAATGTACAAGTCAAATTTTGGTAATATTTAAATCGGGTGAATCCTTAATATTTGTGGTTTTTTTTTAATCTAATGTCAGATCCACTTAGAATCGACTTTTGTGTAGTTCTTTTTTAAGGGAGTTTATCGATTCCACCGAATATCTGTATATATTGATTGCATTGAATATTTTTATATATTGATTCCGCCGAAGATTTATATACGTATATAAGAATATAACATATTTATTATAATATTAAAACATATTCGGATTTTGTAAATACATAATATTGTTTCCAGCAAATTTACTACTAATACTGAGACAGAAAATAATATTTTATTCTACTCTACAAATTCTAATTTAAAGTTGATATGCTCTAGTGACAAAATATTTGTAGATGGTATATTTTATAGTTGCCCAAAATATTTTTATCAACTGTTTAAGGTTCATATTTTTAAAAATGGATATATGCTCCATTATCCTATTTCATATTGCCAGACAAAAGCAGAAATACATATGCCACCTCATTTAGATGTATTATTAAAACATGCTCAGCTCAACATTTATATTTCAATCCAATTACAATTGTTGCTGATTAACAATTAATGATTATTATATATACTATTATTATTTATTTATTCTATAAAATGTATTTGTTTTTTTTTATTTAACTTCGTGCCACTATAATACTATCGTGCTAGATATGGTATATATTTATTTAATCTTAATTCATACAATGAATACTGGGTCCCACTGAAATTGGAGGCCCAAAAGTTTTTAAATTAATACATGATACAAATAGAAAGCAAATACATAATAATTAAGAATAGAGAAAAAAGTGCTTATAAATAAACATACATAAATAAATATAAATTATAACAATTTACCTATTATCATCATATTGAATCTTTATGTCTATGCTTTAATGAGAGATGTAGTCGTCAAAGGTTTAATTTTTTTTAGTTTTGAAGAAATGTTTATATTATTGGTGGCTTTTTTCATTAGATTTTTTATAATATTTATAAAGTTATATGTGGCTTCGTTCACGTCATTTTATCTAGAACAGTTTCCCATGATTGAGTGGCAATTAAGTTTGAGAGCTTTGATATGTTTATTTTTGATGTCGTAAATGGATTTGGAGTATTGTTTATATTTGTTATTAAATTTCCGATACTGAGGAATATTGCGTAATGATCGGTTATTGTATTTGGGCTAATTATAGCTTTGGAAAATTTTATATATATACATTTCATAAATATATGATGAAGATAAGTATTAAAACGCGTACACACGAGTGAACATTGTGCGACGTTCGAAGTGAGCTCACTCGAAAGCGAACGAGCACATGAGCATTCGGACGAATTCTGTTCGTGTGGACACAAAATGTATTTATGACGCACAAAATATACTATGCGTAGCTATCCGAGCACAGTTGTTAACATACTTTAATATCAAAACTTAGTATCTTGACTTAAATTCTAGATTTTCATATTAATTATTAATAATTATTAATTTTTACCTTTTCCAGTTCCATAACATTTTTTTACTTTCGCTTTTTCTCTACGATATGAACCCTGTAAACTTAGAATTTTTTTTTTAATTTCTTCAACCGGTTTTTTCAATTCTTTTGCTAAGTGACACCAAGCATTATGTTTTGCATTTTTTGAAAAATATGATGGGTTTTTTGAGTTTCACAACACTTCTTGTAATCTAAATGTCCTTTCGTTTCGATATTTTACTCATATTTGTATTTTCTTTCGATTCTATATCAAGTAAAAGTATGGATACTTTTCAGTTGATACCACGTCCTTACCTGTACATATAGTTTTATAAGTGATACTTATTGACAATGACCGTTTGGTTTTACCAATTTTACTTCTATCGTGATACCAATAATAATGTTAATTGTTATGAGCTTATGAATTATGAGTGTATTTATAGACATAAAATACGTACGTCAACCTCGCCGTTATTATCAGACATCAGTATCCACTATAGGGTACAACTGTTGATGGTATAATACTAAATAATATAAATATTATCTAGTACAGTAGTTCCACTATAATAATAATTACCCGGTAATAATTTGATAAAGAAAATTCTCTAAAATATGTGATGCGTGGTACGATCTAATGTAATAATTCTATCTTCGTGTATGTCGTAGTCGTCGAGCGTTAATAATTCAGTAATGAAATAGATTAATCGATTGCAAAAGGAACTGTTAACACTGATCGCATGCGTCTTTGAATGCGCATGGACGCGTAACTAATCATAATTCAAATCAGAGGCGGCTTGTGAGCACCTTCTACCGGCGTGGCGCCCCGGTAAAAAGTTTTAGGGTGGGTGGGTCAATAGCTCAGTGTTCAGCACTTAGCACTTATAGCTTACGAAGAAAAAAGTAACATTTGGAATTATGGAACGTTAACTACTCGTTTGAACTATCCACGGACTGAAATACTCGTATAGTTGTACTATATCAAGTCGGTAGATTTTCATTGATTTATCTGTTTAATCGGCATAAAAGTGCGTTTAAGTCAACGAAAGAAACTCGTTTTCTGGTATTTTGTTTAATCCTTTAGTGGACGGCACAGAACAAAACGTAAATATTTAGTTATCTAATTTTCCGAGCTCGTTTTTATTTGGTCTAAGAAGATGAGAAAAGTACTAAACATTTTTTTTTTTTTTTGTACTAAATACTTAACCTTCCAGCGGGTACGCCATTATTTGAAACAAGAGTAATCATGCATTGTACATTTTATAACAGTCTTAATATGATGTGATAATCGTACATATTATATCTAATAATAAAATAAACAATAGGTACACTCACAAAGTTGTTTTTATTTAAATATTATTATAATTATGTACTCAAATTTATTAAAAAATCAATACATCTTATTACATAAAAAATGTAAATCGTAAAAATATCTTATAGTAAAATAAACAATAGTATGTTCAGAAAGTTGTTTTTATTTAAATATTATTATAATTATGTATTTGTTAAAAAGTTAATACGTCTTATTATTATTACATAACCAATTATGATTATTTTTACCATTTGTTTTCAGTAAAAAAGTAATAATATTGGTACGTAAACTTGAAAACATTTATTTTGGCCAGAAATTTCGTATTGGAGTTAGGTAGTTTTTGTAGCAGAATTTCATGCCTTCAGCTACATCGGGTCCTGTCAACCCACTTTTTGTACAATTTCAGTCTTATTGCCCAAAAATTAATCAGTCAACATGTATCCCAGCAAACTAAACTAGTATTCTTAGGATTACAGATAAAAAGAAACGATATGGTCAATTTTTGTCAAGAAATGCTTTAAATCAAATAAGTAAGAGATGATTATAGCAAGCTGCTGAAAGTATTTGTTATAGGGTGAAGTAAGGTATTTTCATGAAATATGCAATTTCATGATATTATTTTTTGAATGTATAGTATAATTCCTTATTACACGATTGACTTGAAAACTATATTGGTCTTTAAAAAAACTGTGCTTTTAAAGATAAATGTAATTTTCAAATCAATCGTGAATAAGGAATTATATTATACGTTCAACAAATAATTTCATGAAATTGTCTATGCCACGAAAATACCTAACTTCACCCTATTTTTTGGTAAGAAACCTACCAGAAGTGTCAGATTTATGATTCTAGGTCAAGGCTCAGGAATCTGCAGCTTCTTTACATGTAAACTGTGGCTCCTTGGAAGATGTATCAATATTGAGACCCGAAAATATAAATTATTTTATACGTTATTATAGTGATAATATTTCTACATTTCTTAATAACGATGTTTTTTTCAGGTGAAAATAAAATAATATTTTTCTATAATGACTCTACAATATTTATTATTAATTTATATAAAGTATTCACCGTATTAAAACATAGCAATAGGACAGGCATGAGATGTTGCATTGATCCAAGATCTTAATCAAAAAATCACACATAACGAGGACCAACTTAAATTTCTTTTACAAGTATGTTACTTTCTGAGCATCGAAAGAATTATCATGGTTATAGCAAAAATTCTCTAAAAAATACAAATCTAACTATTATATTATAATAATTTTTGTCTTATAATATTACCTAAATTATTTAGATAATATTTATAAGTTGACAAAGTTGTAATGTACGTATTATGCATTGTATGACTTTTTAATGTATAATAATGATTTTATGCTTGAACCAGTTATTCATTATTTTAATAGTATTTAATAGTTTAAATTACTCAATTACATATGAATCAAATTATGGTATTAATGTTTGTATTTTATTGGTACTTTTTAATTTTAATTAGAAAACAAACTTTATGAATACGTTTTATTAGATAACATATCATTATTACAGTCGTCTACTAATAATTGTTTGGCTATTAAGATATTTATTGGTCTTAAATGTGGGCTAGTTGCAAAACCCATATGACTGAATTTCTTTACCATTGTGACATTTTTGACATTGGGCAATCGTTTAATTAGCCATTTTATGTCCTGAAATCAAAAATATCTACTTAATATTACGCATACCATTTACATTTTGAACGATTAAATTTTATTTTAATGTTAATGTTGTAACTAAATTCTATATGAAATTAAATGTGTTCATCTTTAATTATATTTAAAATATCCATTGAAAATTGTCGATTTTGTTTTAATCCAAATCTATATCGAAAATATAATATTTTATGTACTGCTATAGCTCGATAAAAAAAAAAAAATTAATCACATATGTAGTACATGCGATAGGGACTTTGTTTTGTATGAATAATTAATTGTTTGTTATTGATTGCTAATTATATATTGCTTATTATATAAATAAATACTCGATGGTTTTAATTATTTTTATTTACCCTTTAAAACCGAATTATTGAAAATATATTTTGTTCTATGCTATTGACTCGAAGAAATAATTTTACATTTAACGTATGAATGCGTATTTAGATTATTGCGTGTTGTAAAGTCGTTACATTTTGAATATCTTTTATACATTATAGTTAAATTTTATGTTAAGTGTTAAAGATGTATTCGATTGGGAACACATAAGTTGCGTCTCTGGTATTTAAATCAAGGGCTCTGAAACAATTAATTTAACCAATAGCATTTTGTTAAAGTTATACTAAACATTATTTACAGTAGATCATGATATCACCCTTTACTCTACACATAATTTCTGTATTAACCAATTTATATCAGTTAGAAAAATCTAGAACAGTACGAAACTAAATAATATACATATAACCGATAAATATTATATTAAATACTAGTGTATCTAACCAATAGTAGGTGTAGTGTATAGTATAGTATAGTTTTTATTGATCGTGATGATGATTAACGACTTCATACTTATTACCGTTTATCAATAATCCGGCAAAAAATCAATATTAATTTTATTGATTAGATACATACTAGATAGGTATGTATAATATTAAGTGATGCTTCTCGAAACACGGAGAGTACCTGGAACCCGAAAAAGACTATACTCCCTGACCGTTGTAGTGGGACGCAATTCGTATTTACCTAATTTACGGGACGCAACTAAGGTGCTTCGATTCGATATAGACATAAATCTGCATTCATATTTTAGTTTGCACTGATTTATTGAACACAAAACATTTTATCTTAAAAATGTAATTTTTATTAAGAGAGCGGAACATTTTAATCACTATTATTAAATCTGTTTTTATTGGGAGTATATTAAATATCATTTTTAACATTTTTACTTTTGGTGGAGCTATGACGTCATATTTCGAATGATAAATGTACGTAGCAGCCATCACTTTGGACAAATCATAATCGGGCGGGGTGTTAGAATGGTAATATTTTATATTTCCTTTTTTTCCATAGTCATACTTTCTAAAATGATCTGGAAAAATAATTTGAGTTATTATAATATTCTACATGAACAAATAATTATTTTGGTATTAAAAAACCTTTCAAAGACATTGTTGTTGGTGAGCATCTATAAATGATTATATATTATGGTTGTTTTTTTTTCATCAAAACATAGGTACCTACCGCAAAATATTGTAATAGATGATTTTTAAATACAACGTATTATTTAAATCAGAGAATTACTGAAAAACTATTCAAAGATTATGACGCCCAAAACAATGTATTTTAATACAGTAAATCTTAATATTAATTATTTTATATTTTTTTATATTAAGCCAGAGAAAATGAATAAAAGAAGTTAAAACGAACGAATTATAATTATCGGTTTAAACGGTAGAAGTAAAAAAAAAATATATATATATATAAAAATATGAATATTTTGGACAGTTATAAATGCACAAGCTATCTTTTTATCAAAACAATATAAATAGTATACTTTTAAATGTACCGAAAATTCATACAACATAAAAGTATAAAATTAATTCATAAAATAATAGATATTATGATTACCTGCTAGTATGAGTTGATAGTAATGTGTCATTACTTTGATGGACGTCGGCTGAGGATATGTTTTTAGGATATCTATAGTTTCCTAAATTTAATAATTTTGGTAATTAGAATATTAAAGAAAAAAAAGTCATAATATTCAGAAATGTTTTTGTAGTTATCGTACAAAATAAGTAAGTTTTGTGATTTCCTACTTTTAGTTATGATATTGGTAAAAATATATTTCTATTTTCATTTATTAATCATCCTTATAATTAAATATAAATTACAGTCTCATAATTTATAAACGTTAAAATTGAATTAGTTTGCTATCAATGTTATTTTTTTTATCAGCAGTTTAAGAAATTATTTTAATGCATTATGTAGGCGAATAAAATAACTGTCGGATTATTTAAGTGTCGATAAAGATTTTTTAAATCTTTTAAAAGTTTTTGAGTTACAGCGATTAGTGATTAATTGGTATTTGGATTTTATATATATGTATTGATAGCAGAAAAATATAACATTATATATAAACAACATTAATTCATAAAAAATGTATAAGCAACTGTAAGTAAAATGTAATTATAAAAAGTTTTGAAATCATAGTTTTTTCTTCTGAAAAATTTGTTTGTAAATTGTAAATTATGATCGAATCTTGTAGCAATAATGTTTTACGTACGTAATCTATGGCCAAATAATTTCCTTGTAACACATCCATTGCATAAATACAAAACCATTTCATGTATTTCTTATTTTTACATTGGTTCCCAAACCATTGATTGTCCGGTTGCTTCATCTTAGGTATATATTCCAAACCTCTTAACGGTCTCTTAAAAACAACAGTTAAGTAGTGATAATAATAAAAAAATTGAAAAAAAAAAGCTCAAGTAAAAAAAAATAAAACCCTATTATAGTATGGATTTTATTCGTTGATTTAGTCATATATTTGCATTAATTTTAAAATAATAAAAATAAACCTTACTCGATTTTATGTACAAAATATTTAATTACAATAGTAATATTCAATACCTATCTCATTTTGTACAACTGTTACTCAAATGTTATAGTTTAAAAATATCGTAATTAAAAGTTTTAATAAAATGTATTAACACAAAAAGAAAATGAAAATATTTAATATATATATATATATTTCATTTAGCTCAGAATTTAAAAACATAAAAAGTACGGTTGGAACATTTTTGTATTAAATTAAATTAAAAATACTTATTTTATAATGATACATTGAGTTTAATGATAAAATAAAGTTGATAATGCAATTCTTACATGGAACAAATAAGGGAATATTTTCAAAATGATAAGCCGCCGATCGTAATACTTCATTCTAGCTGTTGGAACTATTAAAATCAATTTGTCAATCTTGTCATTGTACTCTGGTCTTTCGGCTAGTGCTATTAGGCATATAGTAGCCCCGAAGGAATAGCCACCCATGTGCAGTTTATCGTGTCCGGTTTTGTTTAAAATATAATCAATACCAGCTGTTGTATCGTATATTCCCAACTCGTCAAAACTTGAATTCAATAATTAATTTTGATTTAATATATATTACAAATGCTTAATTAAATAATAGTTGATCTTTAAAATTTTTCGAATATTACATTTATTGCATCAAGCTTTATACAGATTGATTTCATAGTGATAATTATCTAGATAATGCCTTAGCTTCTCTCAGAAGTATAATAATATCCTTAGCATCAAAAATTTCAGTGTGAGCATTGCATTTCTTACCTAAAATTCCAGGAAACATTTTTCAACGGAGTGACCATGCCAGTTCTAGGATTTTTGATATACTTAGATATACCAGCGAGGCGGAAATTTAGTAGCCAGACGTCAAAACCAGCATCGGACAGTATGAAACCTTTTATTGACAAACGTTGACAAATGTCAGTAAATTAAAATTTTAATATTTGACTTATAAGTAAGTCACAATAAGATTTTATGTTATTATAATAACGCACGGAAAAATCCAGTGCCGTGGCTTTGGAATTGATGGTGATACTATAATCGGTCGAACCTGCGTGCACATTAATAGTCTAATGGCGTAATTTATGGATAGATATGTATGTTCGGAAAGCATTTATCACCGTGTAATTTTAAAAACAATTGGTGTCATCGGTCGACTTGCTATATTTACATTATCGATGAACTATAAGTGTTTTTCCTAGGTTTCTCTTCCAATTTTTATAATGAATCGGACCCATTCGTTCACCATATCCACACACACCGTCTTCCAACTGTTGCTCATACACGTGCACATCGGCTACCAGTATGTGGTACCCATAATTTCATTCAATCTCTTGTTTTTCGGTTTTCCTCTTTCACTCTTTCCCCTTACATTAATTTTCATGATACCACTTAGTCCCTTTGTCTCCTATCTTAACAGGTTCTGATCAATTTTTATATTTTCCACGATTGTTATTATTCATTTATTACCCATTACGAACTCATTCTTTGTCCAATTCTTTCTAGTTATTTTATTCATCTATCTTGACATTTTTATTTCCGCTGCACTCGTTCTATGTTCCGTTCTCTTGGCCAAGAGTTCAACACTGCGATTGATACCAAATTTCTGGCCTTCTAATGCAATCTACATTTAAATTCGTACATTAAATTTTGTTATTTTCCAAACTAAAAAAAAAAAACTCAGAAATATACTTGAATTAATTTTTAGTTACAGAATAATCTTTATCAATATTGTTATTCTACCAAATTGGACTATTTGTATGTATATTTATATGTATATATATATTATTAATATAATATTAGATATCTAGAATTTTAGAATTATTGAAATTCTGTGTTATATACTTACTCAATGATTTATTCGTGAGTGTATAAAACATGGAAGTTCCATACAAGCCATGTAACAGAATGATAGGTTTACCAATTGTTTTATTAACATTATTTTTACTATAGGGTATTCGTTCCATGCCAACCATATAATGATCTTTGGTTTCGATTTCGTGTATTTCTATTGGATATCCTTGACTTAAAATCTGATCTGACTTTAGTTTAAAAAACAAAATATTAAATACAAGATATAATGAAATTATATACCATATGCAATTTAAAATAATATTATTATATATGTGATTATTTTTGTTTTCTTTGGAAAAACAATATATTGTGTAAATAGACTTCAGAATTTTTAGTCTTTAGTACAACATGTTCTACAATAATTGTGGTTCAAACAGAAGCGAATGATTACTGATTGTGTCAAATTTTCAAAAATGGAGAAATTACAGTATAGTAACGTGAACGAAACCACTTTAAACTGTATAATAAAATACATAATTGATTTTTGGTACGCTTTATTATTTTTTTTTCTTATAACTGAATCAAATCAAATGCTTAAATGTTTAACATTTTACATAATAATATTAAATACTTACGGCTGAGTAAGTAGAAACATAATGTAACTGTACGATATTTACAACTATTGTGCAAACGAATATTAATAGTATTTTATTTGTATACATTGTATATTATAAATCAACATAGATCTTATAAATGTTAGAAGTATTGGGTGTTTATATTTGATAAGAACACGTGGAATTTTTACTGGTGAAATTTGCAAAATTGTTAATACATAAATAAATGGAAATTATGAACTGAAAATTCACGAGAAACCACTATAACATAATATTGAATGATTGAAATCGATCAATCGTTCAATACTTTGCAATTAAATTGATGTATGATAAAATACAAACATGTTGCAGTACTAAAACGACGTTAAAATGTATTTACATTTTGCATTTTTTGTACGCTTTCGTCTGAATGGTTCAAGGTAATGTGTAGGTAACTAATTTATTGATTATTGGATATGGTCATTTCATCAAATAGATTTTTAAATGCTAAACAACACATTTAATTATTGCCATGTAAAATTAAAAAAATTAAAATACAAGTGTTAAGTGTTTCAGGTTTGTCCATGAAATATACTAAACACTTATATTATACTGGTTGACGATTTATCACCAAGGTGTTCTCTCAAATGGGATACATCGAGCATTATCATTAATCGTCAATTGTTTTAATTTCTGCAAGTATATAATAGTATCACGATTTGCCGATTTATACGATACACGGTTAAACGGTTTACTCATTACCATCACTATTGATTCATAAAAGCCAACAATAATATTTATTGCCCGTCTATTCATTAATAATAATATTGTCAATTATTAGCGAAATTTGTTACAGTACCAACTATAATGACGAAAGGTAATAATAAGGCGATAATTAATAAAAAATAATAAATCATACACTATTATGTTCAGTATCCAAAATTAATCAATGCGTAAAAGTTTAATCCGGATCAGAACATAATTTCAATTATATATTCTCCATTGTTTACGGATTGAGTTTTATTTAGATTTAGCAAGATTTTCAAACATTGTACACTGTTATTAATATTACTTATAGTTGGTTTCTAATCATGCCAAAAACCATCTATGTACAACAAATTATGGTGACCATTTAATTGACTCTCAAAATTAGGATAAGTACCTAATTGAGAACTGAATTGACTCCCAAGACAGGCAATATTGAATTGGCTCCCAATATAATTTTCAACAAGTGGTTCTCATAATATAAAAGTTACAGTTAAAAGTAAAAAATTAAAAGTACGCGACTTTAATTAAAATTATTCTTTATCCATCGAGAATAATCGCATCGATCCGTCGTGACTCGTGACCAAAAAATTTGACGATAGCAAATTATGTACAAGTTGAGCATAATATATAATTTTTCGGTATTTATGTTCATGAACATTTTTTTCTAAGTATACTGATATTACGGGTTATTGTATGAAAAAGGCGTCAGTTGGCATTTTTGACTCTGACGTCATTTAGCCTTACGGCCCTGATTGTTTTCATAATCATAAACCTTTTTTAAGATATTCTATCGTCCATTATCACCTCAAATAAAAGTATATATAACATCAAAGAAATTATTGGAAATTAATAACAAGTTAAGTGATTTAATATTACTGATTTATCTTGAACAAATAAAGTCAAATAATTTTAAAAATGACTTGGTAGACGCTGTAAACTTAGAATATCCTTCTTTCAAGGAAAATGAATTATTTTACAACTGTATTACATTATTTCAATTGTTATTTGCTAAATATATTAAAAATAATTAAAACAAAAATAAAACGTGAACATCTGTGCTGAGCACTCTTAACAATTAGCATATATATCTAAATGTAATTCGTACGTTTTAAATCCTTATTTTATTTTGTCCGATCATAGATTAATGAAGGACATTAAAATTTAAGTATTGAGGCCTGGTGACGTCTCTTTCTTATTTTATTAAGAAAGAAAATATAAACTGTTTGTTCACTAGTCAGTCAGCATATTACAGTTCATTAGAAAAAGGATTTTTAACATTCAAAAATTACATAAGGAGGAGTTATAAGAACTTTGCCATCCAGAGTGGTCTCATCAAACCAACTGCACACTTTAAGCACATCGAAAATTGTGTTATTGTTACGTTCAATCGTTTATGGATCTAATTATGGTTATGTGGTGATAGTGATAAAGAAGTGTATGAGCACTATTGTAAAAAAGTTTTCGAGGAAATTAGATTTTCAACAAAGTCGAGATATAGAAATAATTTTCAGATTGGCAAATGAAACAATTCACCAAAAATTAATTTGCAAAGAAAATATTTTTTTGCAAATCCAAAAGAAAAAATGTATACAGTCAGTCAAATTACTACCACACAGTTGTATATTTAAATTAAGAAATTTTTAATCAATATGAAGTTGAATTTAGCACAACGATTTCACATACAATAATTTCAAAACTTTACTTCAACACAACTCAATGCTTTAAAAACTTAGTCGATCAATCAGTGGTTTTCATATCCAATGTAATTTCATCACTCCTTTGTGTCCAAATCAGCTGACACAGCGGAGTGATGAAGTTACATTGGATATGAAAACCACTGATTGATTGACCAAATTTTTAAAGCATTGAGTTGTATTGAAAAAGATATTTGGATTAATTGCAATTTATTTAGATATTTCATATTCAATGTAATTTTGATACTTCTTTCCATCAGTTGATTTCTTTCTCAGCAAGAACTTAACTTTCCTATAGTAGATGGTGATCTCTAAAAATCCAATGGGCTAATTAATATCTCCGAATTGTCTAACCAACTTTCGTATATGACGTACAGATCAATTGCCTATCACGTGTGTCGAAAAAAATGGTTATATACGATTTTACTGTAAGTATATTTTTTGTTACTGACAATTTTCAATATAGATATTATATTACATTGCATATATTTATTTTTTAGTTGTGAATAACGACTGATTTTTTCGTCCATTTGACCCTGCTGTGATCTATATACTGTAAAAAATATTGACTTACACAATTTTGTGGATCTTGTTTGTCTCACGTGATGTTGAAGAAATTCTGACTGCATTATTGAACTATTGTCGAAATAATTTACACATGTTGTGCAAAATAACTGTTGGCTGATTTAATCACACCGAAGATATTGAAAACTCATTGAAGAAGCATAAAAATCTAATCAAAATTATGATATAGTGTCTGAAGAGCTACTAAAAATGAAATATTCTATGAACATTTTCAGTAATGATATCGGCAGTACTAAAAAAAATTAGACTGCAATTTTCATGGCCGAAATTCTTTAAGGATTGTTTTCATACATATTTCATTATTGCCAAACAATTTTTGTACATTCAGCATATTTCTTAAGCGCCCTTAAATGAATAAGGAATTCAAGAGCACTTTGGTGGATTTGGTTTGGGTTAGCACTTTGCCTTCCAATGATTCCGGATTGCGTTGTAAGTTCGATGCAAATTGTACAAATATGTCCATATTACAATTTAATCAATATTACGGTATGTATTTCATCTATAATAATTCGTGGCAATAAAATATTTTATTCTTTTTTATATAATTTAAATAATAACCAAAAATCATCATATGGTATATAATTTTTTTGAAAAAAAATTAAAAATTAAATTTACATTTTTTTGTTCATCGCTTAAAAAAATATCTTAGTTTGATTATTTATACATCAGATTTAAATTAATGTGTAGTTATAGAATTTAATTCCCTCTAGTGGAGAAGGCCAGCAAGGCATAGGCGTTACCTTCTTGACCCTTAATAATATCCTTGCGATATTACTGTTGTTAGATTAATGAGCCGACATCTATTCAAATTTCATAGTCAAAAGTGATTACTTAAATGAAAATTTGATTTTAAATTAAAATATTGTTTGTATTTTATGCATTCACATATATGATCAAGAAGAATCTCGCCTATGCTTCGTGGGAAGACCACTTTAAAAAATGCGCACTGCGTGTAATACCTCATGCTATTAGAACACAATAATACATTTTGTTGTTTTTCATAGCTAAGGTGATGCGGAAACTTACACTCTCCTAGAATTAAGTATGTAGGACACTTTTATTAAAATCTTTCATGAAATAACTATTTATTGTAATATATTTCAAACTACCCAATTATTCGTTATTTTTTCTTTTTGTCTTTAAAAATATAAGTCTATCTATTTGTTTGCATTATTACGTCTAATGCTAATGATAACAACTTTTAGTCTATATATATAAATTATAAAATATGCCATGTTGTGTTTTTGATCAAGCAATTGAAATACGTTTGAGGGAATTAGTTCGGGTCTGAAGCAGCTCTCAATTCATAACGTAAATATTTACAGTTTTATCAAAAACTTATAAACTCTAATATGTGTTTATAAAATAAAAACTAATTATTTTTATTTAACATTTATTTTTTTTAGATAGTTTAATCAGAAATTTATAGAAGCTATATCACGGTCTATCTACGTTAGTGAAGTTTCATCGAACGGAAAAGTCTCTGATCATTTCCCATGATGCACCTTATCGTAGTCTTTGAAATTCAAGCCTCGGTTAAGTCTGATATTAAACATAGCATTAAGCCGAGTAAAGGGACTTGAGTGCGACATTCTAACAAGTGTTTTTCACCTTTGCTTTACCAGAAATATGACCACCTGTCACTGGAACTATTATCTGATTTTCGATACTTCACGAGCAAAATTCGATAAACTCTAGACAAATCCTAACCTGCACGTAAGTTCAGACCGACAGACCTTAGTCAGATCAGTCATACCTTTTTTTGGATTAATGCGATTATACTGCTACTACGACCACGATACGTAGCTCTCAAGGTTGTTCAAGAGCAGACGTCCAAGGTTCAACACAAACGTACCACTTCATGAATTTCCATTGACTAACTCAAACCAGCAATATAACGATGTGTCATTTCACAACACAGATACGCAACTCATGTAGTCAACGACGATGATATCATATCTGCTTTATTTTCAACTGTGGGGTGGTTATGTATTAATATAACACGAATTCACCACTTACTAACGCTATAATATGTTTTTATTAATAGTTTCTCTTATGTGACAAACACTCGGATGCGGCTTGTAAGCAATTGCTACTGTGCCCCGGTAAGAGCAGTTTTTAGGTAAATTTCGGTTGAATAAATTCAAATTTAGTAGGTACACTAATAAATGTATGAAAATACATTATGATACACAATTAATGTTTTAACGTTAAAGCAGGTATAATGTCAATCGAGCTAAGCCAGAATAATATTTTCGGTATAGATGAGAGGTTTAAATTAATCTGCTTCGATAGATGTAAATGTTCAAACAATCTCTGCATATTACAAAAAAAGTAATATGTTGTATGTGGTAAAAGCAAAAAAGTAAAATTATGGTAATAAATAATTTTAATATTTATTTGTCCTCCCTTTCGCTAATAAGATTTGATTGATTGTAGAACTCACTTTGTACTGGTCCCAAAATTAATCTTATAAGCGACGTCTACCGTACCAGTTATTTTTTGAACAACTAAGTTAATATTCTTAATACAATAGTATTGTATTACAATTGTCATACGAATCATTCCATTAACTTTTTGTGTACATCAGCAGTCAATAAATATAATTTTATTAAATTATTAAATAACAGCATCTTTTTATGATAGGTATTTAAATTTATTTAAAAAATAAAATCTTTTACATTTTTAATCTGCTATAGGGACTGTTTAATTTAAAACATATGTAGATAAAAAAAAAAAAATATTTTGTTAGTAAACAATATTGCATACAATATTTGAAATATTTTTCACTTGCGAGACTTCAGTTTCTTGCTAGGATTAAAATATATTTTCTTTATTCACGTCTTATTAATAATTTTTCGATAGTTGTTTCACTATGTATGGGGCGACGACTAAGTGCGAATTTTTACCCATCACAAATGATTGATGACTGAACGGTATGTTGTCAATGTATAGCTTATCCTTAACATTTGGTAAATTGTCCAATAACCATTTAATATCCTAAAATGAAAAAATAAACATTTTATTCATTAGCGTTCCATGATTATTTGTAATTAACGGAGAATAACATGTATCAACTGAATGCATTAAAATATGTTAAATTTCATAAAAATTATCATTATATATAAAAATTAGTAATAAAAATAATAATATTATTATAATATATTATTTTAAAATCAAATGTTATGTTTTTTTTTTACCTTGGGAGGTACAAGATTATCGCGTTTGGAATACAAAATGATTGCTGGAGCTGTTATTTTACTTATGTTATACTCTGGAACAGTGATAGAATTGTAATGTGCCAAGTTACCAACTGTACCATAATCATAATTACTGAAGCGACCTTAAAAAAATATATATATATATTAAATATCAATATTTTTTATGTATGGAAAAATTTTATTTAAACAATAAACACACTAATTTGTAACGTTCTGTTAGTTCATTAAAATAGAAGAATCTTAAATGTGTAATTTACAGTTTCTTTAATTCGACAACAACGTTATCAACATTAATAATATAATATCCATGTTCATCTAATCTTTACCGTCCTAATTACTTTTTCATTTTAATAAATAAACTCACGACTTAATTTCGTTATTGGTCGATTATTGGTCTTCAAATAAACAAATAAACCATAACAGAAACGAAGTATACTTATCACTTATAATTATTACCTGATAACAGTAATTGAAAATAGTGTTTGACTGATTTCAATGATGTGGGTTGCGGATAAGTAGTAAACACATCTATAACAGGTTCCTAAATACATGAATAATTATGAATTAATTTGTATTTTAATTTTTAGACTTTTTTTTTAATAATTTAAAACTCGTAAAATATATGTTTATCACATATATTACTCACTATATGAAGTGGATTATAAAATCCCTGTATCAAATTCATCGATTGAACGCAAATGAATCCGAAAAATTTAATTCTGCATAATTGTCCGACTGCTATGTTATCTGGGTCACTGTTAAGTGATATGTAATTAAATTTAAACTTTGCTTTCTGAAAATGAATAATATCTACATGTTAAATATATTTTAAAACATAATTCCAAGTTACAGTATATTATTTACAATTTTTTTTCAACTTTTTATAATTAACTTTTAATTATTTTTACAATTCAAGATAGAAAAAGAGAATATTATTAAAATTTCAAATTTAATTTAATTCTATGTTTACCCAATGGATTTTATATAATTTGTAAACATTAATTAGTTAAATATTTATCGTAATATGACTAAATGTTTAACTTAATTTAATTCAAACGTAAGGAATGACTTCAACGACAAATTACTGTTTTATACAGAAAAAATAAATAGTTTTATATTTGGAACAAATAAAAAAAAAAAAGGAATATTAATGATTTTATAGTTGCATAAAATGCTTTTTAAGTGTCATTATATGAATTCACAATGAAATAATGAATAAGAAATATATTTATTTAACAGTAAAAATGAATTATTAAATTAAATAATTACCAAAAATGTTCGAATAGCTTTTCTAATGAAATAGTATTGTATACCCTGGTATCCAGATCCCATTCTGGTAGCTGGAGCCATCAAAACTAGATTTCTGACTTTTTTATTGTACTCGGGTTTTTCAGCTAGTGTAATTAGAGGTATGGTTGCTCCTAAAGAAACACCACCGACATCTACTTTAGAATGTCCAGTGACAGATAGTACAAGATCAATGGCAGCTGGTAAATCATATATTGCCAACTCATGAAAACTGAAAACAATAATATAAATTAAAATCAACTATTGTTATTATGATTACGTGTTAAATAGTTAACCTTATTAAATATTTGTAGACGTCAAGTTTATTTATAATAAAATATAAGTTTTTTTTGTTGAAGTAGTATTTATAACGTTTAAGTAATATTTAAGATATATTAATATTAATATTTAAAAATTGGTTCGTATATATTATGTTATGGTATATAGTGATAATTTATTATTAATATTTTAAAATTAAATACGAGTCAGAGTTATGGATCTGATCTGATGGAGTTATAATCACAGTTATGGAAGATAAATTTTATAGTAATTTATCTACTTTAATTAATTATAAACGTGTAAACGTGAAGACAGTAAATATTTTTATATTTTTTGAGCAAAATTGAGTTTAAAAGAAAAATTGAAGATGTCAATCATGCAAGAATATACTCAACTCGTAATTATAAAAATATTGAAAAATAAACTAACTGAAGAAATTGTTTCACATAAATTCAATAGCTACACTACTTTTAGGACTCCATATAATTTAATATTTGGTTATATGTAGAGAATCTGTAAATTATATTATAATATCAGACAGTGGTGTACATTCGATCTTGCTATGGGGGGGGGGGGGGGGGTTAACAAAAATAATCATTATCTTTTTTTTTTCGTTTTACAGATAAATAAGATAAATAACTGCTATAAACAGTTATTATTTTATACAACTTTTTTACCAATTTACAGTTTACTTTTACATTACAGTAAATTAATAGCTATTGGAATATAAAAACAGCATAGTTAACAAAAATTTTCAAACACCTATCAATATAATTATTTAATTATCATAATATTTGTTTAGTTGTATATTTTAAGTTCAAAGCGTAATAATGAAACTACGAATATATTATACGTCATCAATAATAAAACAATTTTCTTTTTTTTTTTAGCCCTGGGGGGTTTTGAACCCGGAAACCCTCCTCGTATGTACGCCACTGATATCAGAATAAAATGTAATGTGAATTGACGTTAAGGATGTGCACGGAACACCTTTATTCAGTCAAAGCCGAGGTTCAGTAGAACGTGTCAACAGAAATGTTGAAGCTTTGTTGAGTGCTTGTATGGCAGAACAAAACGGTCGTTACTGGATTTATATGCATCATATTTAAAAAAATTGAGCTTTTTATTCAGATAACTAAAAAATTGTTTTGTTTTTTTGTTTTTTTTTTAACGTAACATAATACGAGCAAATATAAGCAAATTTTAAAATCTTGCGTTTTTCACATTTTTAGTACAAATCCAATAACGGTTGTTAACGTGGTATGTTGTATACGCTCTGTCAATCTAAATATTATTGGTGTAAATGCTGAAGGTAAGATGCAGCTACCTACAGCGATTATGTACTGTTTTTCGAAGCATGGAGTCACAAGTTCAAAACGCTTACCAGTAATTATCATACTTTTCCATTAAATATTCTACTGTGATACTCTACTTCACAACGTATCAACACACTACTCCATGATATTTTAAGGAATAACCATTATTTACGTATTATATTCAAAATGTCCACATTGAACGTAATTCTGCACACAAGTCAATTTTATGAATAAATACAATATTATTATTTATTATATAAAATGTCAATAATTAGTATTGAGCTCGTTACTGGATTAGATCATGAATTTTAGTAACTGACTTTTATAATCAAATGAAATATTCTTAAATTAACTATAATTTATGAACATTTGGTTTTTTTTTTTTTTTTAAATTATTGATAGACAGCTATTTATATCATATTTTATGAAATGTATCGATTATTTTAAACACAATACAATTCTTCAAAATGATATTTAGATATTTACCATTGTGTATGGAGAAATGTGATAATTATCAATTACTGGTAATAGTGACTTAAAAATGTAGTGGTTTTCATTAATAACCGACCGAAAATATCATGATAAATGTCGTGATTTATTGTAACAATAATAATATTAAATTAAAAACAAAAATTCTTTCATTTTTAGAGTTTATTAAACGATTTATGCATTATGCTTACCTGTAGTCCCAGTTTAAACTAGTTAGCTTAGGAATAATTCCTGTCCTGGGATCCTTAATTTTTTTTGACATTCCTGTAACTCTATAATTGAATAGCCAAACGTCGAATCCGGCGTCTGATAGCAAGAATCCTATATTATAGACATTGTTCATACATGTTAACATTTACGTTTTTCATATAAATATTTAGATAATCTATTGTTTATTTGTGAATAGTTCGTGATCATCGAAAATAGTACCATACCGTATAGTTAAATTAAATGAAAAAACAAGTGATTTGAATGATTTTACTTAGTGTAATGAAAATCTGTGGTTGATGATGCTTAGTTATAATTACAAAATAACAAATATGGAATATCAACTTTAATTGTCATTTCAAAAAGAATAATTTTTGTAGGTTGTTTTTATTCATCAAATATCGTATCACAAATGGGTCTAATTCTTTTTATAAAATTGAATTAATCATATGTTGATCGATGTTAACATGATGTTTTAAATAAAACTTATTTTGATTCTATTGTATAATAAATATACATTCAAATTATTTCTCAAAAATCACAATTTTTTTTTTTCATCGATCGAAATTTTATCATAAAAATTTTTAAATGTTGATGTATAGTATTTAAATAAATAGATTAAGTAATAAGGTCTGTAATTTTAATATAGATCTAATTCAATCACATACCAAACGTATATTACATTAAAGTCTTATTAAATAATCTATTTTGTAAACATTTATATGTTGGTTCTATGATAATTTAATATGAATAATCATATTAACATAATATGCTTTAACGTTACTATTAAATGTTGCTTATTAATGTTTTACTCAATTTTTAAAATTCCATCCACTACATTTCATTAATTATTTATTTTGTCAAAATATAGTGTTAGGGTTAAATCTATGATCAGTGTCAGTTTTGCTCATGATTGGACCTCCAACAAAAAATTACAATGGGCTCCATAAAAACATAATATTGGAGGAGATTCAATAAATATTTACTAAAAATGTTTTTTCTTGCTACGATTGAACTCTACTACAAATTTTAATACCTATATTTTTGTTTTTATACTTTTCCAAAGCAAATGTTATCGAATTATTATTATATTTGTGTATGTGACCGTTAAAAACACTTATCTAAATTTTTCAAAGTATTTATATTTGTTCGATTTTGATCAAGAGCAGTTATACCTAGTTTTATTAAATCACGTCACCAATATTTCAAGATTAAGATAAGAATAACATAACTTTAATTTAATTCAGGAAAATAATTACTATGATTTTTCATGTTAGCGTGGTTGCTTTGAGCCCAGGGCGGATTTAGGAAAGGTTTAGAAGATCAGCTGACCCACAATTAACAATTGTTGACAAAATTGCCCTCTTGAAGAAATCTTATATTTTTTAAGTTTTCCGATTATTAGTTTTTATAAGTTAAAAATAAACTGGTAAATGCCTATTTACTACACCCCCCTAAAAAAAAAAAAAAATCGAAACTAGTTTAATTATATAGTAAAATAAAACATCTTTATGCCAGACCCCAAATAAGATTCCATAAAATAAGATAAATGTTTACAATGATAATTATGAATAAATTTAAAAAACAAATATTATATGATCATAATGTTTTTTTTGTTACAAGAAATACATTTATAATCCACTTTCAGCTCTAATAAGTGGTCTTTTGAAATAGCTTGACTTAGCAGTTTTCAAACTGTGGATCCGCCCTTAGTTGGACCCCCATTTTAAAAATAAATCCCAGGGCCTTCGATGATTGCCAGGTATCCGATTGGGTCAAACCGACACTGCCTATAATCATAATTGGAGATATAGTTGCTCTTAGAATAAATTTCAAACAATCTTAACCAAATATTACAAATACACGAGTTCACAATTATTGAATTTATTGTAAAAAACTGTTTCGAAGAATTTATAGATTTATTTTGTTAATATTATTGAGAGTAATAATGTACTTTTACGTATTACATACCTATAATATTATATTATTATGTATATTTAAAAAATAGAATACTCACCAAGAGACTTGTTATGCGATACGTATACAATGGAAGTAGCGAACATACCAGATAATAATATCACGGGTTTACCGATGGTTTTGTTACCATATTTACTGTATGGAATTCGTTCCATGCCCAACATGAATCTATCCTCCGACATATATTCGTACATCTTCAGAGGGTATCCATTAGCTTTAATTTTTTCCCACTTTAAACATCAGATAATACACACAATATTATATCACATTAAATTAAAATAATTATAATTTTGTTTAATTATTGGATATGATATTAAATCATAAAATTAGTCAACTATAAATTAACACTTCAAATCAAATCATCACTTCTACTATATACCTCAATAATTAGATCACTGGCAACGTACGCCTGCCCCGTTTGAGCGGCAGCCTCGTCCACTAAAATAAAAAATCCAAACTCTCCAAAATAAATTCCTTAGGATATGTCTAAAAGTCAGATCCACAATGACACTGGAATACCTCTAATAAATAACTGGATTAAAACCCTATTTAAAAATATCTACGACAAACTTAAGGGCTCAGACGGAATCCCCAATTTTCAACTAGTAGAAGCAATACCCGAAATAGATGACTACGACCTCGACTTCCCTAGATATCCTCCAACGGATACTGATGAACTCATATTAATAGATAAACAGTAATTTTATTATTATTATTATATAAATGTAAAAATTAATTAATTAATTAATTGTAATTGTAATTGTAATATCATATAATGTGCTGAAACATTTTAAATATGATAAGTATATATATTATATAAAATAATTATTTTTGTACAATATATTATAATGTTAAATATATCAATATTAAATGAACAAATATATTTTTACAATATTTTTAGAAGTTAATTGTACTCAAGATATGTTTGAGATTAACACAGTACAAATTAATTAATTTATAACGAAGTTTAAGAGGCATAAAATAGTTGACGTTTAAATAATAAATTGTAAAATGAGAAATGGAAATGTGACACTAGTAATGCACTAGTAATTACAAACGCTCCTTGTTTTGTAATTTTTAATTTGAGCATTGTGCGTTTTAATGGATCTGGTCTAATATAATATGTTAATATAACCATTTATTATGATATTGTTTTTACTGTGTTCAATTAATAAAATAAGAACACGGAAAAACTTTGTTTGATACAATCTTGTATAGCCATTAGTAAATTAGTAAGCCATAAATAAAATGACTATAAACAAAAGACTTACTGTTTCTTTTGATGATACTAAATATTGTGTTCCGAATAGAATTGTAACAACAGTGAAAAAGTATATTTTATAAATATTCATAATTATTTTAGTTATAATATAATAAATAATAAAATAAAACAAAAAGTAATTACAAAAATTATTTCATAAAAATATTTCAAAACATTTTTTTAACTTAAAAATATATATTTTTTATATTAATTTTATAAATTAGTTGGATGTTTTAAGTAAGTTCAAACTGACATTTACAACTTAATGTTGAAAAAACTAATCACGTTCGTCTCTCTTAAGTATATAGTGGAATCCAAGGGCAAATATGGTATTTAATTACAATTTAATACCGCGAAGCAATAAAAAATATAAATTTTCCGTTAATGACTTGTAAATTATTTATTTTAGTTATTGAACGCTTATAAAACTAAAATTAGTATTTTTTTATTTCAGAAGTTACTGTTATATCAGTTGATTTTTTTTTTATTTGATACAGTTTTGAATTAAGTTATTGAAAGAACATTTTATTTAATAATATTTTTTTTGGTTTTGTTTCAATTTCAATGTTATTTTTTTAATTTATTATATTTAAAATGTTTCAGCACATTATGTGCTATTATAATTACAATTACAATAACTAATTAATTTTCAGATTTGTGTAATAATAATAATAATAATGTTAAATTTATTGTTCGTTTTTTTATGAGATTTTCTCTTTATCCGTTAGGAGGATGTCTTGAGGCAATCGAGGTCGTAGTCCTCTAATTTCAAAGTTAATATCGTATGCTGAGCGTTAGTGATTTTTATGCTTCCATATATAAATTTGATTAAATTTAAGATAAGTGGTCAATCATTACAATTGGAAAAATGAATTTGATCGAAGGTCTATATAATGCGTATAAAATATAATTATTATATATCTTATATATAATATGATATTTCAAATCGGGTGCTTCGGCTAAGATTAAGTACATAATAAAATAGTTTACCTAATAAATTTTTTACAATTTTCATAAGTTATGCGCATAGTTGTGTTGTCTATTTCAAGGGATTCGACCTAATAGAAAAATAAATAGTATGCGGTGCAACTTTTCAAATACTCCAATCTCTAGTAATATTGCTTCGTTTAACACCCAGGCCGGATACCAACCGGTTGGTTTCGCTTGCAGATTTCTTTAATACACGAGGTAAAAAACTTCTTTAATAATTTGAAGTTTTCTCCATCTGTGTCCACAATTTTGACGAATGTCAAAACAAATCATCAGTGTAGTGTAATAGTTTGTACACGTATTCACAGTATAGTATATACGTTATTATGCTACTATTTACATTATATTAATTAGAATTTATAACATATTTATTTTTAATTGAGTTTGTTGACATAGTTCAAATAACATATAAATAAAACGTACTGTGCGTTGTTATTCTTTGCACTAATAGATTTCTTGTTGAAAAATAATTACATTTTTTTTTTTAGTAAAATCACTTTTGAGTCTGCAACGGACACATGGTCGTACTATTTATTTATTAAAAAGTAACAATTTTAAATTAAAATTTTTTTTTCAATTTTTGTTTAAATAAATTTCTTTTAAACAATTAACAGTTTAACATTATACAAAATAATAAATAGTCAAGTTATTAACAAAAATATATAGAAATATCATCTTACACAATTATTAGTCGATTTATTTAAAAACAATTCTTTGTTTCACTAAATGAAATAAAAAATCTTTAGGTATTTCTATTTATAGTTTTTATTTTTCAACAAAAATTGGTAAATACGGGATTTTATAAAATAAAAAATGTGTTCTGTTATAGAAACAAGTTTGTCTCAAACTTACCATTATTAAATTATAATTTCCTTAAAATAATTTAACAAAATCATAAATTTTAATCAAAAAAATTTTAATATTATTAAGGGTCAGTTAGGTTTCTTATTTATATTATGTTTTTACGAATTAGTTAAGAGTCATTTAAGTGTATTTTTAATTTTCTTGAATCGTAAACACCGATTAGAAAATCAAAGTAATTAAAACCACTTTTACGTTGTTTGGGATAGTTACCATATGAATAGTATCTACTTCCTTTTTTTTATTTTTAACTACGAGTAATTATTATTGTTATTAAAGGCCAATGTATAACTATAAATCCTGTCTCCAAGATATGAAGTTATTGTATTGAATATAATTTTTGTTTATTAATTAATTAATAAAAATGAGACACCCCAATATGGCCAACTTATAGCATTCAAATAACTGACAAACACATAATGACAGTATGTCGTAAATATTCAGATAACAAAATGTGTGTTAATCTTCCTGAAGAATTGAAGGAGTTTCTCAGTTAGAATCTAACTTTACTTGCTGAGTAAAATAAACTATAAAAAATCATACTGTAAATAATTACTACCTTTAAATTTACATTGCACGTATTTTATTATTTACTCGTTAATCTATTTAAACATATTTTTTTATATTACACTATATGCTATATAGTATAAAGGCTCAAAGAGCTTAAGCTAACGTAAAAAACTATTTGCAAAAATCTTAGTATTTAAGTGGAGTTTAAATTTACGATCTCCATTATATCTTATATCTTATGCTTCCAATGGTCTATGTTTTTTAAATAAATATAAAATAAGGGCAAGACTCTTAGGTCAGATAAGATGCAGAAATAGGTGACTGGTATTGTTATATTTGTGATTTTTACTGAAAAAACAATTTTAAGTGATCTTTCACTTTTTAAACTTATACCAATCTAATAAATTGAAAAGTACCATTGATCACAAAAAAATCTGTGTGAAAGAGATCTGGAGTATCAGTTTATATTTTTAATAGTGTATATAGATATTAAATTTATACGTTATATTATTTATTAATTTTATTTGTCTAGATATTAAATATGAAAAGTTTAACGTGATTGAAAAAAAATCTAATTTCATCGATTGATTTGAATGATTATGTTTATATTCTTCGCGATATGTTACGGCTACTCTCTAGGCGAGTTCATAGAAATCTGCGCCCACAAATTAAAATATATACATATATATATATATATATATATAATAAAAAAATCGACATAATTTTGTTGGAAAAGTTGAAATCTAAGAAAATTTGATGACATGGGATAGTTGTGAACACGACGAGTGAAAAAAAATGTGCAACGGTACGGGAAAAAAAAAATTAAAAAAAATAGTATTAATAATTTTGTTAAAAATGTTACGTAATAATCGAAATACTTTAGACAAACGTTGTCAGTTACATAGTCGGGTTCGTCTGTTCATGTTTGTGCCTACAAAAAACAACCAATTTTTTTATCGATCAGACGTACAGATGAGAAAGAAAAAAAAATCAATCGTTTGTTTGTTCGGAAACCAACTGAATGATAACGAAATAACCTGAACGATGCGGTCTCCTTGTTCGGATGTTCCTCGTCCGAGTGCGAGCGACGACACGAGGTCGCAGGTGAAAACAACCGTCGGAACAACACCGTCGCTCGCGGTACCATTGTCCGATCGCGACGCCCATTCCGCCGCGGAACGTTCCGGCAACGTTGTCGACGTCCGCACGTGTTCTCGCGCGTTTTACGTCTTGCGCCAACGTAAAATATTCCCTATCACGAAGTTTGATAATATTGTCACGCCGTATGACTGATAACAATACCGAATCGGTTAAAATGATGTTTACATGATGCTCAACAACATGCCGAATTTATTCGCACGCTTACGCCGTGACCGTGTCAGTACGGATTTTTTTACGTTCAATATTCACAATATTTTTCCGAACAACTTTTTGTCCGACGTTCAAGTTGCCGTCCACACAGGTTTTGCATTTTTCAGTGTCTCTTTTTACAAGTAAAACGTTTTCGTTTTTTTTTTTTTTTAAAAAATAAATTTTGCCGATACAACAATCTTAAACATCGAGGAGCTTGTCAGCAAAATATTTTAATCGTCTAAGCTATGGAAACGGTTCAAATTTTCAAATTCTTAAATGGTTATTATGGATATTAAATTATTTATTGATCATTATTTATCATGAGTAAGTGTTTTATTGTTATAACGAAATAAATGTACGTCTAAGTGTTTCCAGGCAAATGTATTCAATAATTTTCCATATCGAACTTGACTAAGGACGAAATTAATGTAGCTACCATAAATTCTACTCGTAATCAATCATGTGATCTGTGTAGTTCAAATTTATATGAATTAAGATCTATTCTAATTTATTTATGCGTCAAAAATGTTCAAATATATTGTTAATAATTAAATATCTAAAAAAATATCTGTAATTTGGCTAAAATAAGTGTTTTCTTTATTATCCCTCCTCCTTTGACATTACTTTTATTCAGCAATAATTATTTTAATTTATTTTTCATTTGATGGTTTGTACGTTTTAAAAATGTAAGCTAAAGATTCCTAAAATGCAGTAAACGAACTTTTGTATAAAAATGTTACAATTTTGCAATCGGTTATTGATATACCTACCTCTTTAGTACGTAATCTTTTTGTATCTATTAACATATTTCTGATATAAACATAATATAATCTATTTACATCAATAACTTCAAAACAATAGGAATACTAATAACTATATTTTATTTGCCAAAAATCGGGACAATTTTTTTTTCATTTTTTCTCATTCAAATAACTTGTATTAATTATTTAATTATACAATTATTACTATGCCATTATAATATTTTAAGGTAATCTAAACAAAGTTCTTTAAGTGATATGTTATTTCATTTTTCACTTTGTTCTTTGAAATAGTTTTCGAACATTCTAAATTTTTCATAATAATTCTGTTCATCAATAAATATCGAATTGCACTATTTCATCGGTCAATCGTTTAACTTTTTATTTTATTATGGTTTTTCAACTTAGAATTTAATAAAATATAAACACGACCGAAACGTATAGAATCCTTAAATCAGAATCATAATTTATGTTTAAATATTAATTCTTTCATATTGTAAAATGATTATAAATTAATAAACTTCTTAATACACTTAATAAACTGAGTCATATATATTTGTTTAATAGTAGTGTTGGGCAACGATATATTATTGTGTATCGATATCGTTCCGATTTTCTCGATATTGTATCTCGATATCGGAATTTGATCGATATCGATATCGTATCGAATTATATTTTTATAAATTTACTAAAATAATATACTAAAATTTAGTATATGATATTTATTATTGGTACACCAAAATCGTAAACTTATATCTAGCACATAATGCTTATCGATACAGATAACATTATGAGCTATATCAAATGTAACAATAATGTAGAAATGTAAAATTAAATATAAATAATATAATAATTCACATTTCCCGAGGACACGTGTACAAACTTTATCAGTTATATCATTAGACAAGTATTATTACTTATTAATTATTAGTTAATAATTTATTACACAGCGCACACAATAAAATTTACTTAAGCTTAGAATCTAAAAATAAAATGTATTTTTAGAAAAATTATTAAATTTCATATTGAGATATATCGTACAACTATAGAACAATATTGGTGTCGAAAATGTGTCACGATATCGATATCGTATCGAATTATCGATATCGTTGCCCATCACTATTTAATAGTATTATAAAATGAATTATAAGTAATATGACAAAATAATAATTATAATAAGTGACAATTGTTTAGGAAATAAGCTAATACTTAGTTACCGCTAACACTGAAATAAAAATGCACTCGTAACATATTTAAAAGATTATTTTTTTTATTAAATAATTTATTTTATTATTTTTAAACAGATCTAAAAACGTCATAAATTTTAATAAAAATCGGAATTGTGAAAGTATTAAAAATTGTCAAGATGAAAAACTTCTATGATGTGCGAACTTATGTTTTTATTTCTGTGGTTTCTGCAACTGTTTGGATAACAATATCAATTTTATCTAAGAAGAGAATTAAAAGGGAGCAAAATAAAAAAGACCAAATAACGATACCACTCATAGTGATAACTGGTTGTGATACGGGTCTTGGATATTCAGTTGTAACTAGATACTTAAATAATAGAAATAGTAATGAAAATCGGAACACAAATAGAATATATAATTGGTTCAAATGTAAAAAGTTAATAGTCCCGCCTAAGATTGCTATTGTTGCGTTTTGTTTGAATTCTAATGGATCTGGTGCTAAACGTTTACATCAACTGTCCGTTAATAATAATGAAATTCAACTGTTTATTAAACAATTGGATTTAACTAATACAGATTCAATAAAAAATGGTGTAGATTTCATTTCTGATTTACTTCAGAGAAACGTAGATGAAAATGGTTATTATAAATATGGTAATTAAAAACTAATTATATTACAAGTTATTATGGGGATATTGTATAAAAATACACTTAAATTTTAGAATTACATGCACTCGTTAACAATGCGGCACGAATGGTGATGGCAGAATATGAGTGGCAGACCTTCCAAATGATTCAACAACAGTTTAATATTAACGTTTTAGGTCCAATCATGTTAACTGCTCAGTTATTGCCTAAATTTCGAAAGGATAAAAGTAAGAACTTATAAGATCAAGATCGTAGTAATATAATTAGATTTACAATAATTTATTGGATAATTATTTCGATGTAACTATATATTATTTAAACATTTTAAATTTCTTATAAAATGAAATTATTAAACCCAAAAATAATTAGAAGCGTATACGTGGTTATTTATAATATATTTCCAACTCTATTATGTTGTGATTTTTTTATTTATTTATTTCAACGGATCAAGCCCAATATACAAAGCAGTGATTAACAGATAATCGGTACAATGACGTACATAAAGTAAAATATAAAAAAGAGAGAAGTAAAATACAATATTGGTTGAATGATTCTTAGTGGCATTTATATAATTGGATTTATAATGAGGATTAAATACAAGATTCAAAAGATTGTAGTGAATTATAATAAAAAATGTCAATATTTAATATATTTAAAAATTTCATTAGATACATAACTAGACGGAGTATTAATAGCACAATTATAACACTGACCCAAAATAAAGAAAGTTCTAGGTACTTATTAGATCTAGTGGCATAAATTGGAATGCAGAAATTTAATTTATGTGAACATTTAGGACAATCAACATTTTTATTAATTAAATTTAGTAAAATAAGTAATGATAAAATTAAAGCATTAAAAAATTTGCTAAAATTTTTTTTCAATCAAAACGTCAATAATTATTAGTGAATAAAAATATTTTTTCAAACATTTGCAGGTCGTGTGATCAATATAATAAGTCACTGTGCTTATCTCCCACTACCTGGGGTATCTATATATGGAGCTACAAAAGCTGCTATTCGTGCATGGACAGTTGGATCGAGAGTTGAACTTGAACATCATGGGATAAGATTAATTACATTTTCACCGGGTAAAAATACTTTTTAGTCGCAATACGATAAACGAGATGTTATACGAAAACATTTAATTTTAGGGTCATTTTATCTTTATTCTTCCATTATGAGCGGTCATCAACGATTAATCGATTTCAAACAAATGCATGAAAGTATGGACAGTGAACAGCTGGCTTATTATGGTACTTATTTTGATGCTTATCAAAATTACTTGAGCACAATTGATCCATATATTCAACCACCGGAAATAACTATTCCGAGCAATCATCTAGTTTACAGCGAAATGGATCACGCATTATGGTCAGCACAGCCCAAAGTCGAATATAAAGTACCAGAACCGTGGCGATATAAAGCATATTTTATTATGGCTTGGATATTATCAGCATTTCATTTGTACCATATTAGAGATAAGGTCGTGCGTCGTTTTGTGGCCACACCACAGTTTAAAAATTATGACACGAATTAATAAGTATGTGATTGGAAAAGCCAGTCCAAACGGCAATAATTGGAACTTATACTAAACACAAATAATTTGAGTAATGAACAGTATTTTGATGGCGGTAAAAACGATTAGAGAGTACTAAAAGCCAGATGAAAAGAAAATTGAACAATACTACCCATTTAATAATAGTAATACATATAAAATAAAATAAATAAAAAAATAAATTAAGTCTCAAAAAACATTGGTTATAATTCTTTAAAATTTTGTTTAATAAGAGCAACTGTACTTACAAGAGAATTTGCTTTGATACTTGTGTATAGAGTTATACCTACCTAATCTTCGCTAACGTAGTAGCTTCCATATATTGGTAAATTACTACCCATAATGATTTTATTAAATTAATGATTTTCAAATTATAATTTTAATTTTTAATTTAAAATTACAATTTTAATTTGGTTTCATTAATATATTCTTATTGTTAAATGTTATAAATATTTTTATACTTTTATTTCGTTTGTTTAGTGGAAACATGTGACTTGATTCATTCAGATTGTAACATACTCGTATCATCATAACTGATTAATATCTACTGTCCACCAAAACAATAACTCACTAGATTATTATAATTACAAAACATATTAATATAGAAAAATAATCACAAAAGAGTCTCGAATGATACATTATTATAGACTACTTAAGTACTTACGATTTAAAAAAAAGGTTACTATCTTTCTTTAAAAGGAAAAATGTTTTTATATGTATACTATGACTGATATATTGAAACTGTCAGTTCAAATAATTAGATAAGTATATCCATCATTTAATATTCATCACCCTTTCAATTACTCAAAAAAATGTTGAAGCATATATAAATAAATATACCATTTTTCAAGTAATAAATAAAATAATTATTTTCATTATTTTGAAGATCGATTTTTTTAACATTCCAATTTTTAAGCAATTCAATTGAACTACATAGAGCAATTGTACTCAACCTTTTTGGTGATAAGTAAGAACTTAAGGACACTAAGAGTAGAAGATTGAAGGGAAATTATCCAGAATAGAAAAAGATGGAAGAAGAGTTATAAAGCTAAGAAGAAGAAGACAAAGTAATCATTCATAAATAGTTCTTATAATTTATGTTAATTTATATTATTAAGATGCTTTTAACAAAACATTTAAAAATGCATACACTTGTTTAATGACTTTGGATATCAATTGTCTGGAGGCTTTTTCCCCCGAAAATATTGCAGAATTTAATGACAAATCTCTTTGGGTACGTTGAAACATAATTACGATGAGCTGTTTGTTTTTATTGGGCATATCATACCACATCATTTTATAGACGTGATCCGCCAAACGTGTATGCTGTAAGAACAATAAAATATTGGAAATTATTGAAATCGTAAAAGATTGAATAGCTTCATTGACTTAAGATCAAATTAAGTAAGTATTTTTAAGCAAGTTTTGTCTCACAGTATTGGCTAGAAGACATGTTGTTAAAACTTGCTTTAATTATCAATGGAACATTAATTGTTCAATTTGAAAGCAAAAAAAAAAAAAAAAATCAAAAAAAAAATTAAAAATTTAAATTAAAAAAAATAAATAAATTAAATAAAATTTTATTTATTCATAAAATAATTTAAATTAATTTAAAGTACAAAATGTTAGTATAAATTGTTGAAGTTACATTTTGGGATATTTGACCAGAGCAAATGCTTAAATAAATTATATTTGGTTCTATTCAAATATAAAAATTTACAAAAATAACATTCAGTATTAATTTATTTAAAGTCGAAAAATATTAAATGTATACTTCCTCGGCTAAATATTTAAGAGATTCTAAACCGTTATAACAACCTGAGGGAAAATTTTAATTCAAATATTATTTTAATAATTTCATACCAGACTTAGTATAACTTCTCCAATATGACAGTGAAAAAGGAACGGAGTCACATTAAACATAAATGAACCAATAATTTTCACCTTATATAAAACAGACGCTTCTACCTATATAAAATTACATTTATTATTAATTATAGTATTTGTCATAGAATTCAATTAAAATATTATTACTTTTATTATACTGTAAATAATAATGGTTAAAACTAATTGCATGATTACTAGTTCAATTAGAATGACCCATTTGAAGTATGATTTGAAATCGTCTAAAAACCTAGAATAAAATAGATTATAGATTATTATATATCTAGATAGGATTTAATATCTAAATCGGACAATTCAACGAAATCTTATATTAAACGATATTATTTATTAAGTTCAATTGTTTTAACCAACCTTACAGCTAACTGATTTTTTACTAAAATACATAACAATAGCGCCATCTATGAACTCGGTGAATCAAAACGGTGATTTCCAATTTTGCAATTTTATAGTTTATTATCAAAACTTCAATGGTCGTCATAATATTGTACATGATTGTTGTCGTTTTTCTTTATTGGTAATCTATTTTATATTTTCTATAGTTATTAGGCACTAATTTTATTTTCATAGAAATGTTAATCAAATAATAATAATACTTATAGTTGAACCAGTTTTTTCAGTAATTATTTAATAAGATTGTTACAATTTATTTTAATTAATTTTTTAGATGGAGCCTAAAAGATTGAAGCATTCGTGTGATTTTCGGTACTTATAGACAAAAAGTTTATGTACCAACCCCCGAAGTTGAAAACGTCTTTTTTCGGTTAGGTTTTTGAACCTCTGTGATAATATTATATAAGTATATTTTATTTTACGTCGAGATGGCGCAATGGTTGTAAGTTTAAGTAGAACCCAAGTACAGATATTTTGAAGAAAGTGAAAAAACAACAGTTCTAAGATAAAATAAAAGCGAGAAACCGTAGTCATGTGATACAAACTGAATAATGCAATATTTCTGTTATACATACTTGATAATAATTTGGTGATGGCGGATACAATCAATAAAATTATTTTTAAAGGTTTTTTCCATTTTATGATTGTTAAATGTATTTTTAATTCCTTCGAGTAGTATTTCAAACTGGTTCATTATTTCAGATAGAAAAACCATACATCCAAAGTTGACTGATATTGTCGTAACGTACAAAAAAACAAGAAATATGGATTGCACTAAATACACAATTCCATATACTTTGAGTGTCTCAATTTTGATTATCTGAAATAAACCACATTATTTTACACAGATTTGAAATCTATTACTATATATATATATATATATATACATACTAATATGTAATATTCATAAATTAAAATTGTATTTGTACGATATAGTTATAAAATATTAAATAGGAAATAATCCTACCATTTAGGTTGGTTTAATAAAAATAAAATAATCGTAATCATTTACTTTTTTTTGAACTGTTGTACGATTAAAATATACAAAACCAATGTTGTTAATTGTTTAAATAAAAACGAGAATAATCTTTAAGTAAGTTGTAAAATGTATACAATGAATTTATAATCATCAATGAAAAGGGTAAATCTTCTAGGTGGGGTGAGACTCCGTGATTATGAGAGATATAAATTAGGGGTATTGGTGTATAGGTAAAACTTCTATTGATATTTTGAATTTTAAAAAATATCAGAAGAAAAATATTAAAAGAGCCAAATTTCTGTATAAAATAGATTAAGCTATTTACGTTCTAATTTTCACTAAAAAAAAGGAATCTAAATTTTGGGAAAATCAACAATTATAAGTGTCTATATAAAATCACATACTTGATAACATTTTTTCTGAAATTATGAAATTACTTTAACTAATAACTCTTAACGATAAATTCTTTGAAATATTAAATTTCATGAAAATTATATGTTGTAATGCTTGTAAATATAAGCAATAAATTAATATTTCATGTTTTTTCAGTTATTGTTTTTTAGTTACTATAAAAACAATAATTGAATGCTCTATCAAAAACTGATATGCCTTAATCATTGTGATTTTTCTGTCAACTTCTCTTTAGTTTGTTGCAATTATTAAGAGTACTGGAATTTTATTAAAATAACCATCATTAACATTTTACTATTTAATATTTCGTTTCAAGAATCTCTTATAATTGTAATGATTAGAGCAATCTTTCTAATTGAAATAGTGCATAAAATAAAATAAAACAAATATCATGATTATTAATTAAATATAAAAATAATTATTATTATAATCAATAACATTGAAAATAGATTTTTTAAAAGTTGCATGTTAAAAGAATCAATTGAGGACTGAACTAAACGTATGAATAATTTTTTCTTTTTGGTAACTTAGGAAATATTTTATAATGTTCAATTTATTAATTTTAATAATCATTGATTATAATTTATGTAAGTTAATAAAAGTATATATTAACAAAATAAATATTCTTAGAATATACTAAGATTCTACTTATTTTAATTTAACATTTTTTTTTTTTTTACATTGAAGTAGTAATTGATTTGATCTAAATTATTGAAGTACATCTCAGTTGTGACTGATTAAATCATTTAGTTAAATATAGGTATCAAAAGTTTACATCGAGGTATTGTGTATAGTTATTTATTTACATATTTACGTATTCCGTAATATATTTGGATTTACTTACCTTAGGCCAAAAGAGTACAAAATGTGGTTTGCTATCTAATGGTAACTTTCCAATATCATTTATAGCTGTGAATAATGGTCCTAACGTGATACAACTTATTACGATAATAATAGGTATCATTGAATATTTAACCGTACGTAAATTTTTTTTATAAGTTTCATTTGGATCCACTCCTCTTTTCTCTGACCACTGGATGAAATCGTTTCGAATAAGGTTGTAATTCGAAGTAATTGCATCATTTTTTTTAATAAATAATATGCAAATCAATACGTGAAACATTCCTACCATCATGTATTGAATTTGTTCCAAAATCATTGACAAATCCGTAACAGTTCCTTCTAAAATAACACAGACCGGAGACACAACAACCTAATGTTAAACAAATTTATTTTATTTTATTAAACGATTCAATTGTGTTACGTTATGAGGCATGTACATTAACAATATTGTCTCTTGAAGATTAATTTTATGGGAATATATTTTTAAGCCCTTTAACCCAAGTGTTGACGAAATATATATGGTTTTCATAAATCTAAAAAAAGAATCGATGAATATATATGTGTGAATTCAAATACATTTTAATTTCGACTAACGTTAAGTAATAAAATTAGTAAATTCGTTTTTAAAAAAGAAAAACATTGACGTAAAAATTTAATTCATCTTAAATTTCAAAAAACGTCATTACTTTTTTGAAGATTTGAAATTGAAAACTATTGAAAATCATTGGTTCCATGAGTGATATCTAACTGTTAAAAAAAATGTTTATGAAAATATGTATCATATTATGGAAAATAAAATTATAGTATATTTTGTTTATTTAATGGGGGGAGGAAGGGGAGGAAATTTGTCATTTTAGGAGGACAGTTATAAATATTTTTTAATGGTAAATTAATACAATAAATACTCACCATTACAAACCAATCAAATATATAAACATACACCAAAAATCGTAAAATGTGATCATATTGACCGCCAGTATTTATTGCGAAAGCTACTGTCATCAATATTTGATAAAATTTTCTTGGGTAGTAAATCTTATTAACTGATATCGTCTTCATATTGTGATTGTTTTAAATATTAAGAATATATTCCTCAATAATACACTCAAAAAAAAGTTTTCCAGTAGTTAGTCAAGTTATGATACCTCAATTTTAGTCATTGTGTTACAGCTGGAATCGTTTGTTTGTATCCGTGTAGTCTTTACTAACCTAGAACTATGAACACTTTTCGTTGTATACATAAAAAAATACTTGAGTAGTGATTAATATTAATACACTATGTAACTCAAGATTGTATTTTTTGCATTTAATATTCATGTATAATGACATGTTTTTTTCGCAGGGCGTTTTTAACCCTAACTATTAAAATAGGACTCAATCATTTTTAAATGAGTAGCATGAATATTATTTTAATACATGTAGAATTTATTATTCCCTACTTAAAATAGAATCGAGCATGATTTACCGTAATTAGAAAGCATAGGAATAATCGTTTAGAAATGTATGCGCTCATTGAGCTGTGGATTGATCTAAACATAGTAAAAAGTTGATCAGTTTTGATTTCATTTGACTAGTGACTAATGCAACTAGCAATGCATTGATTTTTCTTTAATGTGTGTTTTTTTATAGTATGTGTGTACACGACTGAGACTAGAAAAATTTCTATGACCACCATCACATAAAAAGTAAAATAGGAAGTAGGTTCTAGTTTTACTTTTGTGGTGTAATTTTTTTAAATTATTCGGATAATTGAGAAAAAGAAAGAAAGAATAGTAAGATTTGAAAAATTTTAATTTAAATCCAATTATTAAAGCCTTGAAATCTATAAATTGAAAACTTGACGATATTCTAGCAGATTTTCATGATTTTCATAATTTTGTCAAAATTTCATATTTAAATTCATGTAATTTTCTATTTATTTTTTTAAACAAATTTTTTCTCTTTTAGTCAGTTATAGATTGTAATAAACTTGTATTCAATTTTAAAGACTTTTAGTTACACCAAAATATTTTATAAGAACATTTTTAAATTACAATTTATACAGGAAACAGTGATATAGATTTAGAGAAAATTATATATTCTTTCGATTATTATATTTTAAGTTACAATAAATACAAAATTTAAATTATTTTTAAATAACTATACCGCCAATTTGCCTTATTTTTATAATTATTCGTCAGTTTTTCTTAATTATTAAAAAACTTTTTGGAAATTTGTTTAACTTACTTCAAAGCACTAACTTGATAACATTCACAAACAGAAATCTTTTATGATTGCGATGATTGAGTACATTTTACTAGCTAAAATTGTGAATACAGACTCAGAAAAAAAATTTGATAAAATATCATTAGTGGTGATGATTCAAATCTCGGTTGAAATTTGAATTTTTTTAAAAAACATCTCAAAAGTACCGTTTAGAACCCTATCCCTAACTTTTACTTATTGCTTATTTGGTGATGATCATAGAGTACTCTTCTGGCTGAAATCGTGTTCATGGACAAAAAAAAAAAAAAATGAAAATATGTGTATTATAGTAAAAGTTATTTTACTCAGAATCTAAAAAATCAATACCGATTTTAACAAATATTTTATGCAATATAATGACTGTTGAAATATGTAAGAGCTTAAATTGGAAAATAAACAAAATATACTCATGTAAAAAGTATGAATTAGAATGAAATAACATGTGGGTTATTACTTAGACGTATATTAAAAGTGTAATATAAACATAATAATTATCTGATATTATTTTAAAGGTCCTTCGTGATCTGTGTTGGCGTGTCTACTTATTAAGTCATAACCCTAATTTTGTTCGTGGTCTGTACTTATATATTTTAAAATATAATTGACACAAATATAAATTTTTTAAAATGTAAAAACTTGACTCTGTGATAACTAGGGCAATGAAGTTATTGCATTAAAAAACACACTAAATTGATTGCATTATTGCATAATAAATTGCATTATTGCATCAAAATATATTAAAAATTGCATTGAAAAAATTTAAAAAAATTTAATTATAATCAATAAATTCAAATATATTAATACATAGTAATAATAAAAATTAAATATAAATATTTCTTATATTATTGCATTGCACTACAAATGATTTTTTTAAGTTTTCAATCGTTTTCGAATGATCATCTGTTTCGCACAATAAATTTTTGTATCGGGAGAAACTTTTTTTTACGCCAGTAGTTGTTATTGGCGCGTACTTGAAATAGATTAAATTAAATCGTTGCTGGTTAAGTCTTCTGGCAAGCTCTCCATTGACTGTATTTCTCCACTTATAATTTTTGATATACGAACAATTGTTTGATATCCTTAATTTTTTTGTAAAATAGTTTTGAATTTCTGGTTTATTAATATTCCATTTTTTTCCGTATTTTTTTCTATTTTAGTTTTAGCGTTTTTAACTATAGATAAAGCTTCGATTAATGGAACATGTTGGGTTTCGAGTTTAGTGATTTCTGCTGGTATGAAACCATAATTGGAATGAATGAATACCAAGTTGGTTTCTATAGAACTATCCGATGTTGAGATTGTTCAATAGAAATAGAATCATTTGAATTTAATAATTGTACTACTTTTTTTACTTCTACAAAATTTTCACAATAGTAGGACGCGGCTTTTATCCATGTCCCCCATCGGGTTATTATGGGCTGAGGAGGTAAATAAATACTTGGAGCTTCTTCTTTAAACAATAAAATACGGGAAGGAGCCTTTAAAAATATTTGTTTTACTTTGGCGATAAGCTCATCAATTTTTGAAAAATTACTTCTAATGGTTTCAGCAACTCTATGTATACCATGAGCCAGGCAAGTTATGTGCACTAATTTAGAATATAAAATCTTAATTGTAGGAGCTGCTTTAACCATATAAGGGGCCGCGTCAGATAAAAATAACAAAACGTCATCGTGACGTATTTCCGGAGACTCAGAAGTGCGCGGTGAGAAGGACACTATCGGTTAGTAAATTAAGAAATGACCAAGCGTTAGACTTTCGAGGTCATGAGGGTCGGTCGACATTGGAGTGGGTGAATGTGAGTTGAGCACGGCTTCAACCCGACACAATATAATTGTTAGTCTTTCGTGAGCAAAAGTGTAGGTTCCCATGATTCGGGCCAACAAGCGTTTTGCAGATCGCACTGCGGTCTTTCACAATCTTCCAAAGGAGGTGCCCACCATGAAGATTGAATTTTCAATCACAATTTCGTCGAAGTGATGGTAGTCTGAATGCCAGGGTTATAAATCGATTGACGTAATTACCTGTTGATAGCAATAAAATTTGTATCCACCCGAGCTTCTTCACTCAGTAGGTATTGTTTTTTTTCAAGAGCAATTGTTTTCCATTGGTTTCAAATTTGAATACTATTTTCTTAACTATATTTTTTAGAACTATTATTTTTTTAACTTACTTTACAATTTCTATACCTAGGTTAGGCTTAAAATTATAACCATTGCGCCATCTTGACGTAAAATAAAATAAATTTATGATTATTATATTGGTTCCAAAACCTAACCACAAAAAAAGCATTCTCCACTTTGGGAATCGCGGTATATAATATTTTTACAATTGACAGCAGAAAATCAAACGAATACTTCAATCTTTCAAGCTTTATTTAAATTTAAATTAAAATAAATTGTAAGAATTTTGTTAAATAATTATCCAAAAAATAAAAATGATCAATCACAAGTAAGTATATTAATATTTGATTAATATTTCTATGAAAATAAAATTAGTGCCTTATAACTATGGAGTATACAAAATACTATACCATTAAAGAAAAGTGCCAAACATTTTATAAAATATTATGATGACCTTTGAAGTTTTGATAATTAACTGCATAATTGTAAATCACGATGAGTTCATAGATGGCGCTGTTGTTACATATGTTTTAGTTGAAAAATAATTTAATCACTAGGTCGGTTAAGACATTTTTACTGAATAAATAATATCGTTTAATACAACAATTCTTTAAATTATCCGATTTCGTCAAAATTTCATGTTATAACACATGGAAATCATTTTAGTTACTTTTTTATAGACTGCAAAGAAAATCATACAAAAAGTCATGTATCAAATTTTCAAGCGTTAAATTTAAAAACTAATATTTTTTTTTTTTAGTCTTCGACTACAAGGATGTAACAAGTATTATCATGATTTTTATCATACTGTGAAAATTTAATATTTAAACAATTTTTTTCTTTAAACAATAATAAAAGTGTATTCGGTACGTTTAAAAGACTTTTTGCCAAATCAAAATTATTTTATTGACATTTTTTTAAAAAAAATACCAAAGAATACATAAAAATTTTAAATTTTAATCAATAGTGCAAGAAGTTTTACTATTTATAGGAAACGATGATGACACATTCAGTGAAGGTTTCACGTTTATAGGATAACCTTTTAGTTTTTGACTTATGATAAGAAAAATTATTGGATTCTGAAGAATACCACTGGTATGCCAATGACATTAACATTTTTTTCATAACTTTTCTATTGTTATTCACAATTATTAAGAAGTCAAATGGAAAATTTGCTACAATAACAAACATTAATGTACTCGTACAAAGAAGGCAACATTTCGTATTAGAAATCTCTTATGATTTTAATCGCCTGAACAATACTTTTGATCGAAATCTTGTATACAATCATAAAAAAAAACACATTATAGTAAAAACTTTATAATCGTGGTTTCATTCGGTATCTACAGGTTTTTCAATTCAAAATGGGGTGTTAATTAGTATGCAGGCGTCCATATATAATTTATTATACTTATAATACATTATATATTTTTGATCGAAATTTATTCCGTTTAAAAAATCAAAAATTAAAATTTTTTTTGTAAACTTTGAATTGGTAAATGGATAAATATAATAATAATTATAATATGTTTAAGTATAGGTTTAAACATAAATTAAAATTTACTTAATATAATTTTTTTAAGATCCCATTTATACGGAAAGCAGGTTGGTGATACATAAATTTAAAGTAAAAAAATTCAAAGAACCATCAAATGAATGCGTTAATTTTTTCATAGAACGTGAATGTGAACTAAAGGCTAGCAATTTTAAAAAATGTTATCGTGGTGTGCGTATGTAATTGAATTACATTTGGATTGGGTTTGAGGATAATATAGACAATAAACCCCAATTGTTTTTGTATATTTTGGGTACGATTACAAATCTGAGTTCCAGGCTTTTATGTTGAAAATAATTTCGACGTAATTTATAGATTCGGGCAAAAATGAATTGTGTGGTGAATTCTAATTCATTCAAATAATAATAGCACTAATAGCAAATTAGTATACAAATGCATAAATACATGGTGTCGTTGCGCAAAAGAACAATATATTGTTTAATCAAATATTTTGTAAGACAGAGAGAGAGATTATTATTATGTAATGATGTAAAATCATAACTATGAACTCCAGAACAAACTACAGGCTTTTGTGAACCATTTTACTGGGACATAACTTAGACCAAAACGATCCTGTGAATTATTATGGCTCATCACCGTCAGTGGATAAACTTTGTTGTATCCGGAAAGTTAAATAACTACAAGTAGAGACGTAGCGACGTAACGCGTATTGAAATCTGTAAAATTAAATATATATATTTTAAAATATATGTATATATGTATATATATTATTATGTATTATTAATTTAATTCAAATTTAAGATGTTTATTTAATATTAGTTTTACATAAGCATAAATATAAATATTTATTGACTAAAAATAATTTTAAAAGTGATTCTGGTCATAAACAGAGTAATGAATTTAAATTATATATGATTCCACATGTACAATTTTCTTAATTTTTGAATTTTTTTTATAAGATATAAAGGCTTCAATAGCAAAGTTATTAGACTACTTTTATATTTATTTACATTACTTGTAGTACTCTACATGGTCCGGTCTAGTACGGTCCTAATATACAAAAACTATTGAATCGTCAGTTTGATCCTGCTCAATAATTTTTAGGAGTAGTTCGGTCTAGTTTTCAGATCAAATGTATTATTTTCAGTCCGGTCCAGTTTAAAAAAAAAAAAATGAAAATCTGTCCGGTCCGATCTCAATCATGATACTTAAAATCTAAATACAGATATTGTTATGTAAACAAATAAAACGAAAAAAAACCTACAACTTAAGGTATAAATTTATTTATAAAGTCGGGTAGTCCAGTCCAGTGTAATACTAAACATATCATACTCGTATGGTAGGGTCTAGGCTAATACTGACTGAACTTTACGGACTGGTCTATAAACGGTCCAAAATGTTAAAAGATTGGATCGACAGTCCGGTCCACGATCTACTTTATTAAATATTATTTAATTACTGATCCAGTCTGGTCTAAAAATTATATGAAGCCGTCGGTTCGGTCCAATTTTTGTCTTTGATTAACGTTTATGTGTGGTCCGGTCCGACTTTGGTCCCCTTGTAAAATTTGAAGTCCGGTCTGGTCTTTTTAATAACGGACCATGCAGAGCACTAATTACTTATTGGTATGATTGTTTGTTTGGCTTAACTAGTGCGATGAAATTTTGTTTTACCTTATTTAAATGTTATCTTAAATTAACTTATTTTAAATTTTGATATCGATACCGATGATTTTGAAAAATTGATTTATTGAGCAAATGTTGTATTCCCCAAGTGCTTCTTCCATAGTTGATGGATGTTTTCGGATGGTTCTTGCGGAGGTGAATAGTGGGAAATTTAAGTAATATGTACTTTATTGTAAGAGGTTAGTCACAATAGTTGCAGCAGGATGTTTTTTATGTATTATTAAATATATATGGGTGAAGTTGATGTGTCCGATTCCAGTTCTTGTGTTTATTTACTTACTCAATTAACCATACCAAAAATGAATTATAGTAAAATATAATTATAAACAATAATCTAGGATATGTAGGATATATTAATATTAATATTATAATTATATTATAATAATATTATTAAATAATTATTAATAATAAATATTATAATATACATATTTCTACGAGCATTAGTATACTAGTCCGGTAATCAATTATTGATGTGGTGTCTCGTATATTACTATCCATAGGTATGGGTTCCAAAGACCGACAAATAGAACTAGTAATTAGTACTAGAAACAATATTATTACATAGTAAGACACCCTTATAATGGACTTCATATAAGTCGGAAATATATTTGTAAAGGGAAATAATCACAGTCTTGTTATAAATATATATTAAAAAAAGTTCTCTTAAATGTAACCATTACCGATAGTAAAAACAAAAAATTTTTTAAATCGAAAAAGAAAATCGTTAGATAGGTAATAAAACGATACTATTTTATATATCATTCAGCAAAACCTCCAATAAGACGGAAGTACATGGTTTTTAATTTGAAATCTAATTCATCAACTGTTTTATCAAATATTAAGAAAAGCTTGAGATTTGCTGTTCTCGATCATCGAAAACGAACAAATATTACAAATTATTTTCTAAATTATAAATGTAATAGTTAATATTTAATTAAATAAAAAAATATGAAGATTAAAATAAACATATATATTATGTATGTACCTGAAAATTATCTTGGTTTTAGAATTGCGCATTTATCCATTGTTTTTTTTTTTTGAATTTCTATTTCTTCTTTCCCTTAACCGATACTATTTTATGACAGAAATTGCAGTGGGTCCCGAAAGATACAGCCATAACAATATTTAGCTGGACTTGCCGCATTGGTACGGTAATTTCCCATATTCTACACAGGCGTGTAAAACATACTTAAATACTTCTATACCTGATGAATGGCGCGCATAGTAATATTAAACGTGTATTATATCATGCCGGTGCCATGTCAAATTAAATACATCCATTAAACTTTAACGTGGTTATGTGTATTATAATATGCTATTCGGCAAAGCAGTCGAATAATATTTATTTAAATTTTTTTATGGGACAAAAAAAAGCCAAATACCGTCGAGTCAACAGTTATAAATCCATACGCTATTCGACAAAATCGGGTGACCTGTCAATGACATATTTGTTCGTCCGCCAAAACTTTTAGCATAATTTTACATATTATTGTCAGCGACGAGGAAGCGGACGGAAAAAAAAAATTATAATAAAACTACAATTTTTTGACCATTTGCCGGGTCCGATCACAATATATTATTGTTATGGTATCTAGCGTTCAGATTGTGTGGTTGACGTCAAGGACTCGCGGCGAAGGGGGTGTCCGAAAAATGACCCTTTTTGTCACGTTCACAACCCTTTGCGATATTTCCCAACGTTAAATATATATATAAATTTATATAAATATGTGTGTGTGTGTGTGTGTACATATAAATAAAGATAATAAAAATGAAAAAACCACGCGTGTCGCGTCAACTATAAATCGGTTGTCATTGACAGCGCGATGGAGGTTTTTAGGGAAAAACAATATACAAAATACGCGATAATATATTATAATAGTACCAACATATATATCACATAATATATACGGTATAGGGTATAGATAAAAATGTATAATATATATATATATATATATACGAGAAGTTATGTCTTCAGTATATCGTATAATATATGAAATAATAATAATAATTGAAATACGAAAAATAATTACTTTTATATGACGTATATTATTATGGTGAACCACGTGGCGATGTTGTATACAATACATAGATAGCAGCGGAGTTTCGAGAAGAGATCGTACAATGAAGCCTTGTCACAGCAGTCCCTCGGAATCGAACGGAACATTAAATGCGGGGCGAACGCAAGAAAACATTTCGGGAAGGTGTTTCGAAAAAAATATAAAACGTAAAACACTGATAAATATCATGCTTTATTATTCATTACATAATATATATATATTTATTTAAATATTCTATCAGCAACCATCGTGTGAAACCGTAGAATAACTTTTACACTTATTGGTCAGGTAATTTTTTTCTAATATTTCGGGGTGGGGGGGGGGTTAACCCTTAAAACCACTGCGTTCGTGACCGCATTGTAATATTAAACGGGCACAAGTAGTCCGTCTGCATGGTATTATATACACCACGGCGTGCACGAACTCTTATGTGCATACAACACGCCCATAGGTCAATGGATACTTTTGTGCGATCCATGCGGTCGTCTCCGGGTTGTCGCCTCGTCGTGTGCCCACGTTCGTACACGTTCGCATACATTTATATACGTATACGACGCGGTGTACGTGCGAAATAACGCACGGGGTACGTATCCGGTCTAGTGCACCGGACAACTGGGTGGAGTTTGGCCGGGTAAACGCGGTCGGCGATTCGACGTGGCCCCCGCCGCCGCCGACTAAACCCTGCAACATGTAAACGCAGTACACGTAGCGCACGGTCACCTTAAATTATAATCGAGTGCGTGCGTGTGTACGTGTAAGAATAATGCGCGTCCGTATGGACGTGTACGCAAGTGCGAGTGTGTGTGTGCGAGTTATTGTTCCGCGAAAATACAAACGAACGCCGATATTATACTGTAGACGTATGTGTATAATACGTGTAGTACAACAATATTATATCATGTTGTTATATAATATTATAGTGTACGTGTACGCGTGCCGGCGCGGACGGGCGGGACTTTGCACGGCGATGGGCGGAGCGCGGTCGTCCGCCCGACGACGGGGCGCGGCGCGCCCGACAGACTCGCAACGTCATCTCGACCCGGGTGCGCACCGGCCGCGGCAGTTACGATGAGTTTGCCCAGCGGTGTGGACATGACCGCTGCTCTCATGTCGCAGCATCCCGCGGTACTCGGAGGCCTGTCGCCCGCGTTCTTCTTGCAGCGCGCGTCCGAGCGGTACCAGCGGACGCCCAAGTGCGCCAGGTGCAGGAACCACGGAGTCGTGTCAGCCCTCAAGGTCAGTGTTATCGCACGTGCATACTTACGTTACTTATCGTTACTCGATTTCGTACAATATACCGTTGTACAACTGTTTTCCCCATTCTCGAGACACTCCAATATCTAACCGTTTACCGTTGCCACGTTGGTCTCGGCGACGTCATTCTAACTGTCATTGTTCTCGAAGCACTGCTATCGCGTTGAAATAGTTGTACCCGTTTCAGCGATCATAATCATAATAATCTATTCGACGTCGGCCGTTTTAGGGGTTAGACCATACAATAATAATGATACGAATATAGCGGCGATATCACAGCCGTGACAGATCTTTATTGCACACGTTACCCATTCAACAAGACGATCAGCCCGCAGTTGAAACCAACTTCGCTTTAAATTTAAACACGCTCGACGTATAATCACAAAACGTTTACGGAACAATAATAACTGTCGTGCCGCGTTTATTCATATTTATATTCTCCTCAATCGGCAGTCCATTCGAACAGTCTTTTTCCCTTCACCACTCCCATTACCGCGTTCAAGTTAGCTTCCCGGATCTTACCATCATCATGTGACCTATCACTATAATTGCACTCGATTACATCGAAGACGTATTATGATGTTGTGTATACGTTGTCGGGATCGATCGCTGGTGACGTTTACCGCAAATACCGAGTGAACAACGTAAAACGGCAATACTATTATTCGTATATAGAAAAAAAAAGGTTTTCGAAATTTTCGCATCACACATTGCAAGTGTAGGTAATTTGATTTTCAAGCGGAATGAAAACTGTCACTGTTGGAACCTGCAGTGGCTAGCAGAATACTTAATTATCAAACGATTTAAAGCTGAGATCGTGTGAGATCTCTAAGGCACCTCTGTAGCGATCTTATACCGACCATCCAAGATGGTTTCCGTGACGGTAACTGATTAGAATGTAATTAAGATATTTTACCATTCAAACCTTCACCTGAACCCCCGAGTTCAATTATGATGCTTACAATTTTTGAAATTATTTAGTAGCTTTCTGGTATGCCAGTAAAAGTATGCGTGACGAGATAGCAAGACGTTTGTAAGACTCAAGAAGTGTATGTACGACTAAAGTTAAGAAAAATATACAGCGAACTTCTTTGCGAGTTGCATGTACCACGATACAGTTTCCCTATTATTACTGTGATATATAAGTCATAAAGTGGTTCTAGTAGCAAATTAATGTAATTTAAGGTGCATGGACTCCCGCTACCCGAAGCATTGCTTAACGGCATTTTTAGGTGGCGGTGGTGGCGGCCGATAAAAAAAAAAAATTTAAAGGTGCATAGTACAATAAACTTAATTTTCGTGAGCACAAAGGTTTGCGGTTATATGATGAATATCGCGTTTGATAATTCCGAATGATTCGTAATGCGCATAGGTCATGAACATGACGTTGATTTGTATTGATTCGCATTTTGATTATCGTTTTGTTCGCGTAAGTCGAAACCAACATGGATGTACTGCACATATTATAATAGGACTTACGGGAATATTCTGGGGAAAAGTAATTCATCGACGTACACAAGCATTTTGTAGCGAGCCCCTGTAATGTAAATTATACATTTTAATAGTAGTAAATATTTTCAATAAACTTCATCAAAAGAAAAAAAATTTGAATTCGTTCTTCCTGCAATAGTGAATACCATTTTGTAATAGAAAACTTCACATTTAACACCAATTATTTTCTCTGTTTGGTTAAAATACGTTTATTTTTTTCAGCTCTCAATAACTTGTTTTTAGGCATGATTAAAACATTTGCATGTTTAACGTTTTAAAATTATAATTAATGCATTGTTATTTAAATATTCAAAGAATTTAATTTAATTTATATAGTTATATATAATTTTTTAATGTAAACGTATAAAAACTTTAATCATTTTAATGTATACAAACCCAATAATAACTTAGTAACTTAACTGTAACAGTTCTATAGGTATGGATAATGGTCAAGTATAATTTTAGATATTTGTTCTCAAACATTGTGATAAAGTATATAAATAATACTTTTAAATTTATCCTCTTGTTTTACTTATTATAATATAGTTCCGATATATAACACTTAATTATAATAAAATGTTATACATCGGTGCATACTTATTTAACTAACCATTCTAATTTATAAATACATACCATTAAATAAATTTTAATAGCAAATAATGATAACCTTAAACATAATATAATATTAGGCATATAACTATAAAACACGACTATTATTATGTAAATGCATTTATTATACGTTGACATATGAATATATTTTAGCATTTACCAAAGGGAAGGGGTAATAAAATGAGGTGGCAATATGGTTGCTGTTTTTCAAGTACCCCTATCCCTTATGAACAGGGCTAGGATTTGTATGCAATAAAAAATTGTAAAATATGAATTTTATTTACCAAAATGTGCAAAAATATGCATTAAATTTTTATAAGATAAACACAAAAATATAGTTAAAAAAAAAATATTTATTTATTAAAATACATCAATGGTTGGCTGTTTGTCTTAATATATTATAATTCAAATATAAAATAAAATAAAATTTATTTTTGACAAAAAAATCCAAGTTTTATATTTTAATCAGCCGGTCTAGAATTATTTACGAAATATTAATATTAATTACGAAATATACTATAAAACATTTATTTTTCACATTCTTATAAACGAAATATGCAATATTGATTTTATTCAATGTATGCAATAATATGCATTTTATCCAAAACATGCAAAAACATATAAAATAAAAATATCACCATTTATCTCATCATGAGGTAATTCGAGGACATTGCTGACAAAATCAATAATCAGAAGTTGCAAAAAAAAACATGCCATTGCATACGAATCCTAGCCCTGCTTATGAATATGTATGTTAATTTAACTACAGTTATTTATATGCTATATTATTATATGATTATAGTATATTTATTTATATATTGATAAAGTTATTGAAATTTATTATAGTAAAATTAGTATTTACCTTTCACCATTGGTTACACTACATATTATTTTATACTACTAGGTAAATATTATTATGTGTCTATTATTTAATAAACAAAATATATAAAATAGATAAGTATCTTTCTTTCCATGTTTCTATACATACGTATCTATCGAGTTATTATTCCATAAACTTTAAATGTAACAATAGAGTTGAATGCATGGGTGTAGCTAAGATTTCAATCTCGGAGGCAGTGGCGTAGCCAACTTTAAATCATTGAAATTCGATTTTTTTAAAAAGTATTTATTTATAATATTATTTTTAAATTATAATAATTACAATTATCAAGATGACGAAAAAAATTCGCAAAATCTGCTTAGAATTTTCTGTTGCAGCTCTTCCTTTTTTTCATCTAGCAACTTTCTATGCTAATTTAGTATGCACAGACCTAAAATAATTTACATAGTATATAATTATTATAATAAAAATAAATTTTAAAAATTTAAAAAAAAAAAATTTAGTTTACAATTTTCAATTTTACAATTTACAATTTTCCGTCATCGTTGAATGCAACCAAGTCTTTGCCCTTCTTAAGGTACTGTGACCTGTCAATTGTGCTGGCAGTATATGGCTAAGCTAAAGAATTTGCAAGGCTTGTTTCATTTTAGGAAAGAAAATATCTGATTCGTATATTATTTCGGTCATTTCCATATCTATTAGTTTGCTTTTAGCCAGTTTTTTCCTTCCAGATGTTGTGACATAATTCTGCTTCACTTTCCAAGTCTTTAATTTGGTAATAATTGGCAAAATAATTTATTTTAAGTTTAAATTCTTTGATATTCTTATATAAGATATTTGAATGGTATAATAATAAAAATGAAAAAAGTAGGTAGGTTTTTTTCTGAAAGTTTCCGCTCGAATGAGGATATCAATAAATCTAAGTATGGAATTAGCAGTGATCTCTTCCAGAATTCAGCTGAATTTAACGCTGGAGGATTCGAAAAATGTTGTTGTTGTCCAACAATCCTAGAAAGATTAATTTCTGGTCCTATATTCTCAGCTGTTATGTATGCAGCAGTTGAGAGTTCTTGAATTTCTGTTTCAGTGTCTTCACGATGATCTAACACTATGCCTACTATTATTTTTATAACATTTGAGGATTTCAGCAAATCAGATTCCGTTCCCCCCTCTCGCTATGCGCATGTTTGAATGTATTAAATATGATTTTATTTTAAAAAATTCTTTGTAACACATTTCAAATACAAATTGTTATTAACCTATTTTCCGATCATTAATGAATTCGCTATAATAGTTTTGATTATTATAACATCAATAGGAGGTTATAATAATAATGTTGAAATTTCATTTTTTAGGGACACAAACGTTATTGTCGCTGGAGGGATTGTGCGTGTGCAAAATGTACTTTGATAGCAGAAAGACAGAGAGTTATGGCTGCCCAGGTAGCTCTACGGCGGCAACAAGCTCAAGAAGAAAACGAAGCAAGAGAGCTTGGATTAATATACCCGCCACCATCGTCATCCTCTTCAGCCGCTGCTAGGTCAAGTCCAGGTAAATACTAATTCAATTGACGATTAAATTTTATCTTCTAAAATTTATTACATACAAGTATATATATTTGAGTAATATTAATTACAACAAATATCTGTCAGTGTACAGGAAATATGTTTTCCATTTAATTTGTTTTTGTGATGTTATTGAAAACAATATACGTGCTATAGGTAGAAGCCGGGGTGGATTTAACAATTTTTCACCTCTACGCAAAATTAAATTTGCCATTCTTATATATAAAAAAAAAAAAAAATAACTTCTACATAATGAAATATCCTTAAATAAATTACTTATTGGTAGACGGACAACTATCAACTAATTCAATAAAATTATAAACGAATAATTTGTAGAATTTACTTGTCAAAAAATCATTGTAGTATAATTAACAATAATAATACGGTAATGCACTAACGCGTCACTCTTTGTCCAACTAATGAGTGATTAAATTGAAGGTACATATACGTGGTAAAACTGTACCGGTAATGCGATATCTAGCAGTTTTTATAAAGTGAATATTTTTCTAGACTCCAGTATACATTATCAGTATATATTATATATCTATAAAATTGTAATATTTATATTCTATAAATAATTAGATAAGCTATAACAAAATACAATCGTCGTCGTCGTCCTCATTATCAATGAATTCCTGAGAAAAATTAATATTACTTTGTTAAAAATAAAGGAATACAAAATCCACATACGTCATTCAAAATTTGTTTTGATAAAATATATTTTAAAAAATATGTAATTTTATTACATAAAAACAAAACCAATATTCAGCAACATTTTGCCGCCCTATGCGGCCGCATAGTTTGTAGTGCCTTAAATTCGCCTCTGGGTAGAAGTTGTTTTTGGTACCTGTTTAAGTTGGTGATTTAATTCAAATATTAAGAGGGCGGTGATTTGTAATATAATATGTACCGTAACTTTTTATTACGATCCACAATACTATACATAATAATAGCTATTTACATATCGAATAAATTAATATTATTGTAATTAATGTAAAATTTAAACGAAGTTTCTGAGTAATATTTTATGTAACCAACTGAATAGTATAATATGAGCCGTTACCAAATAACGAGGGTGACGCGGAAACATCCCCTGTTTATGACAGTGCTTCAATGATATATATATGAACATGCACACGCCGCACACATAATAACCAGACACTAGTAACATTATCCGAATTCCTCTTTTATTGCCGCAGAATTCTTCTTGACCTCAATTGCTTGCATTATTATTAAGTATATATGATTTCAAACCTCACCCCTAATCGTCTCCATTGTTTGAAGCGTATACGATATAGGTGTAGATGATATATATATATATTAATAATATACAGAGGAAGGGTGTTTCTTATTAAGAGCCACTGCGTACGTTCACAATGGTGGCTAAGAGGTTATTATAAAACAACGCATATACACAACTTAAACACAACTACCAATTAACCTCTCTTTACCCTCCTTAACTCACTTTAAACTTTTTGTTAAACAGATAACATTGTACGAATGATGTTCCAAAGACGTGGTTTTACACAATGTTATCTTATAAGTTTAAACGCTCGAGCAGCCATATTCGTAGGGTGGAAAGGATTTGCAAAAAGTAGTAGCTATGTAATTGCTTTTACAGACTCAAATTTTGTCTGATATTACACGATAGAACAATATCATTTGAATTTCACTTGGTCACATTATTTACCCACTGTATTCTTCACCAAGATAGAGTTCTGTTTTTATATTTATAAAATAATATTAAAATATTAAAATAAACAAATAAAAACGTAAATTTAAACAAAAGACAGGGGAGTAGTTTATATATACATGTATACTTTATTCAGGGGGTTGAGTATACAAAGGGTGGCGTTATGTTTTTTTATACTAAAAGAGCAGTTATTTAGGGTTAAAAATCGCAGTTTAATAGGAGTGCATACGATTACTTTACCGCTATTATATCTTTAAAATTGATAAAAATTATTACTTATAGAATGCACTTGAAGGCAACGATACGTGGTATAATTAAAATTAAACAATAAATTAGAGTTACAAATAAAAGTTTCTGATTATTCAGTAATTAAATGTTGTTTCTATTGCCGACTGTATAAAGTATCAATAAGCATACTTTGCTGAGGATGAAGTTTTTCATAATTTGACATACTATTGAAATTAATATCGGAGAATGTTAAATTTGAAAAAAATTCAAAAACAAAATAATTATAATAATAATTATAACAGTTATAAATTACAAAACGTGTAATGTTGATATGTTTTATGATATGATTACTGGTATACCTATAAAAAACAAAAAGCTACGTACCAAAGTTGGTTTTCGTTATACTTTTTTACTGTTGATAAATTTATAATAATTAATACTATTTATTTTTATTAAAATTGTGTTTATATAATTTTATTCTAATATACAATTTAATGAACATTCAAAGGTTATAATATTGTACATATAAATATACAGATATATTTTAGTTAGCTCGAGAATACTCTACTTATAAAATTGTTTCAAAATCGTTTTAAATATAATAATCGTCTAATGCATGTGTATAATAAATATTCATATACAAAGTTTAGTATAATGAAAGAATAAAAAAAAACTTGATAGGATGGAAGTTGAGTAATTGGTGGTTTAGGTATACGGTTATTATAGTATAAACATAGAATTATTATTATCGTAGTAGCGGAAGTATAGTTTTCCATGTAAATAACTGACGGTAGTTCGAGTGGAGTGTCCCCGCGCAGACGCTTGTGGCAGCCACCACACATATTGTAAGCCATCGTTCTACTATATATATTTATTATTTGAACTGTTTTGTCTGTGTTTTAAATATTATGCGGGGGGTTGGGGAAGTGGCAATTATCCTTTGCGTAAATTGTACTGGATAATATATAGGCACATATTATTTTGTGATCCCTTGTGTGTGGTTGCACAGGAAACAACAACAGCGGCAGGTATTAAACGTTTCAATAATAACGAAATCCGAGTGATTTGAATAGAGATTATTTTTACTCGACTCTCTGTCACACACTTATGCCCACCACTTTCCATTTCCGACGGTGCGGTGAAGGGCTTATCGGGATTAAGAGCGATCGCCATACTAGACATTATTTCCTCCCCTATCTGCGTATTAAGCTCTCCTTCACTCTTTCTCTCTCGCTCTCTCTCTCAATCTTAATATCTCTCTTTTTATCGTTCTCCCTCTCTCCTCATCCCTCACCCTTTCGTTAATGTGTTATTTTTTCAGCCGTAAAAAAATAATTGCCGCATTTTAAAGTCTATACACTCGAATATCTTCACCGAACATTATTAAATATTTTTTCCACTGCAATAGCAATGAAACGTTTGTATTATTATTATTTTGCCATTCGTCAACGATGTTGTGTACATATTACATTATATTGGTACACACGTATTTATATAAATATATTTTAATCTTACGAACGGGTTTCGTGATTATTGATTCGTGAATTATTATTATATATTTTATAAAGGTATGTATATAAATAAATTGGTGTATGTTTTGTATACATTCGTTTCCAGTTATCGACTGTAATTCAACTGCATTAACATTATTTGTATTCACTTGTTTCTGTAGAGCGTATAGATGATCGATAAAACGCGCACATAAATTACGATTAATATTATACTCAAGCGAAATATTGTTAATGAGTACTCATTGTTTCATACTGGAAATAAATAAATCAACATATCCATCTTATACTATATATTATACACATATAACTTGTTGCACTAGACAGTTTTCACATTTTTAAGTGAACATTACACTCTCGTGTGCCCTAATTGTTCTTTTTCTACGCAAGCGTAACTGTTATGTACCATTATTGCATACCTACCCGTCGCATGGAAAGTGATAAACGCAACATTTTAAATATATCCAATTTCAGACGAAAAGAGAGCGCGTCTCAGTTCAGAAGAATCGATTACTGCAAAACATGACCAGACGATTGGCACACAAGATCAAAACACACGTAGTCGTTCGTCTAGCGTGTCGCCAAACGCCCCGACCCAAGTGACGTCCACACAATTCGCCGCCAAGTTCAACAGCCCCATAATATCGGAGGTAAGTCCATTTAAACAAATTTCTTTATAATAATTGTTATCTTAACTATACATGGTCGTTAGTTACTCCGGTGAATTCAGGAAAAAACCGTACACGATTTCACAGTCCGCTTGTTATAATAATATTAAAGTTTTAGAACTTTTCACTTGAACGTTTCAACTTTGGATAATATTTTTTATGCACATTATTAATTATAAAATTACATATGACTAAAGAACTTCACTTAAGAAGTATTATTTCTTGATATTAGTATGGAGTGTAAGAAACTGACTTCTAAGGAGTACAAAGCCTTTTTCCAGTTCTCATTGCTGCTACCCGTATAACAACAACGTTTATTTGGTGCGGGATTACAATAATACGACTTTGCTATGCACGCAAACACTAAAATATCCCCTTTCTCCCACACACCATATTACGATGTGTATTATACAAAGTGATATCGAAGTAGTTTTTTTTAGCGACTACAACCAATGATATTTAAAATTAAAAAAAAAATACGATCGTTTTTCTATAGAGACTTATGTAATAATTTGTAATTTTTTATAAATTTCTAGACGTTTGTCTCGCCTCAGTTATGTTATATTGTATTAGTTGGAAAATCGGCTACGTGCAGAACTCACTTTAATTCGAATTTATACATTTTAGGTTTTAGGAGTTTACATGAAAAATTAATAATCAATAACTTTGAAATAAATAAGAAATCGATAGAACTCTATAAAATATATTTTAATAAAAGAAAATAAATAAATGCAAAAATGGTGAAACAAGTTTGAAAAAAGAATCAAATTACTATCAGTTATTGCGAGTTGAAACAAATTATTATTTTTCGAATTACAAATAAATCCCCAAAAATAGAATTCGTTCAAATCGAGTTTATTGAAAACTCCTATGGTTCGCAAATTTCTTATAGTACCTACGAGAAATGTTTAAAATGTCCTATCTTGTGCCATCCGAATCGAAATTCCTACTTTTGAACCATTATTATCAGCAAGGTATAGTTTAGAAAAATTAGGTAATATAATTGCTAGACGAACATTGGTTTCTCGGTCTATAATCTTAAAAAAAACCAATATTGGTGATGTCCGTGTATAACATAATATTCACACGCATACGTTCGATCCAAAATCCAAACATCGACAGACTAGTCATTATTGTTTCTTGTTTGTCTCGAAATTCGCGTTGTACCGTACACACGTCGACCCACAAAACAGCGAATCGCGTGGCCGCGATCGTACGATCACCTACTCGGACACCGGTGACAAGGATAGTGTAAGAGAGGGAAAGGGTTGACCTGTAGCGTTCAAAGCCCTTTCAGGAGAAATATTTACGTCCCTCACCGGATTTTCGCGAGAACGTGTAGACGGCACCTAACTTTTCTCTACTCGACCGTTTCGATTATTTTTCCGCACTTTCACCGCGTTACAAACATATCGCAGACCATCGCTCGTCAACTGCTCCGGCAACGTTGGCGTCCTGCTCGCTCTGCTTTCGGCGCAGCGGTGCCGTTCCGCAGTCGTCTTCCATTGCCCATCTAGTTACAGACGTCGCGTGCGAATCGTTTTTTAGGTGGAGAGCAACGAGAGCAGCAACGAAGCCGCCCCGGAGAACCTGTCGCTGCCCAAACGGAGAGACTCGAGCTCGCCGACCGAGCAGCCCGACCGTTCCCGCTTGCCGTCGAACTATCCGAACTTCACCAGCTTCCTGGAGAGCAGCGTCGCGGCCGCGGCCTCCGCCGGCGTCAACTCCGTAGCCCGGTCCGCCGTGGACGTGCTCAGGCGCGTTTTCCCGTACAAGAGACGCGTGGACATCGAGACCGTGCTTCAGAGGTGCAACGGTGACGTCTTGCACGCGATCGAACTCATGGTGAGCACCACGGTCAACTAAGAATATTTATCGTCGCGTTATATTTTTATCGACTATCGCGTATTTTGCCACATCCGTGTTTCGTGCTGGCGACATGTTTAAACACGAACATTTGCCATTCATCCAAAATCTTTTCACGTCTAAATACAACCATACACCCACCCACCCGTACAATTTTTCACCTTGACGCCTGGGCGTCATAAAAACCCCTTCATCACGCCACTGGTCGCGGTTATCGTTATTGTCGACGATGCGATCTTAAGCGCGTTAGATCTCGGCTGGGTGACCATCGTCATCATCATCCTCGTCCGGGGTTTCACGCTTTTCAAATACCAATACTCGCGCGTTACCGCATTTCACTACAACCCCGACGGCCCCGGTAGAAAACGTTTCGTTATGGGCTGACGCAATTTAGCAAACGAATAAAACGTTAGTCCGTTTACTACTCATCGCGTATAAAACACGAATCGCAACGTTGACTAGATATTTTATTTTTTAACCGCTAACAGATATCTAGACGTCGGTGCGCATTTCGAAACAACGTCAAACATTTTTGGTTTTAGATGCGAATAATTTGTACGAAAAACTTTACGCGTATGAATGTTCTATTTATTTTATTGTTTATTGTCCTATCAGTATTAACTTCGTTTAGAATGATTCCCGTATAGTTTTTAAGTTAACTTGAATATAATAAAGCCTAATAGTTTTAGTACAAATTCAAGATGAAAAGTTTAAGCTTTACTCAACCAATAAATACCGGTTTTATCGGTAAACGCTCATCCTCGTTGTTCATCTTCTGTGCACTTTTATAGTGTCGATTATAAATGTATGGCATAATGGCCGGTTAAGTCGATATGCATACGATTTCGGATACGATTTTCGTTGGTCTACTCGAGCATAATATATTAATACTATTATTATTATTTATGATATGGTCGGGTTTTCGAGTGGTTCCCGCTTGAACCCTCTAATATACGTACCTATATAACACTGTCCATATTTTGCAAGTATACCTACCTACGGGGGTTTTTTTTTCATCGTCGTTGCGCGTAATACTCAATGATAATGTTTAAAACGTGTTTAGGGACGATCCCTTCCAATTGGCAGCCATGTTGTAAAATAGGTTTGTATATGCATATCAATTCACGTGCATGTACATTTATGTTATATTATAATAATATATATGCGCTCACGTAACGGTCGTATTTATTTGAAGATTTTACTGCATGTAGAAAACGCTACGAACGAATTGTATGATATTTCCAGGGCTAGGATTTGTATGCAATAAAAAATTGTAAAATATAAATTTTATTTACCAAAATGTGCAAGAATATATATTAAATTTTTATAAGATAAATACAAAAATATTGATACAAAAAAATGTTTATTTATTGAAATACATCAGTGGTTGGCTGTTTGTCTTAATATAATATAATTCAAAAATAAAATAAAATTTATTTTTGACAAAAAAATCCAAGTTTTATACTTTAATCAGCCGGTCTAGAATTAAATACGAAATATTAATAGAAAATTATTATTATTAATTACGAAATATACTATAAAACATTTATTTTTCGCATTCTTATAAACGAAATATGCAATATTGATTTTATTCAATATATGCAATAATATGCATTTTATCCAAAACATGCAAAAACATACAAAATAAAATTATCACAATTTAACTCATTATAAGGTAATTCGAGTACATTGCTGAAAAAATCAATAATCAGAAGTCACAAAAAAAAAAAAAACATGCCATTGCATACAAATCCTAGCCCTGGATATTACTATACGACCTATCAATTGATTTACATCGTCTTCCATATCTGTCTCCGACTGCAAATAGTTTTACCACCATCTCTGATTCCCTTCTCAATATCAAATCGTCCTATTCTCGATTTTTGATATCGTGTCCGTGTTCGTGCGCGCTTCTGTTGCACGCCCCAACAGTGTTTCCGATCGATCGATAAAGGCCCTTTTTGCTCGTTCCTACGGTTTCCATGTTTCCGAACCACATCACACGCGCGTACCGTCCAAGCCGTCGTCCATTCTTCTCGCGTTCGCACCACGTTGCCTGCCGTTCGCGATACCGACGTGTGTCCGATCTCTGGCTGTTGATAATAATAACATATCGTTGTCGTGATAGAGACTTAGCCAGAGGGTACACTCAGGGCAACTGCACACCCTGAACGCCTGCGGCGATATCAATTTTTATTCTAATTTTTTGGCGACCGCTATTCTCAATTTACCAGTCGGCTTTCGTGCACATACGTAAGCGGTAACTTTCTCGCGTACCCCGAACACGAAGTCAGGCTGCGCTTACGGTTGTTATACGATCTAATAGTACGAACGGTGTTTTTGCGCCGCATGTCGTTGCAGATGTGTTCGTCCGATCAACTGCCCGCCATGACGCACCCGTCGCTGATGGACTCGCACTCGGCGTTCTCGCCGATGTCCGCGGCCGCGGCCACGGTATGCACAGCCGCGGCGGCCATGACGTCGTTCCATCACCAGCAGCAGCAGCAGCAGCAACAGCATCAGCACCATCACCATCAGCAGCAGCAGACACCGCGTTTCCTGACCGCGCCCATTCACCATTACCTGCAACCGCAACTCCATCACCTGACCACGGTGCACCCGCACGCGATGACTTACCAGTCGCATCACATGAACCCGGCCGCTACCTCGCCGCGATCACCGTCGCCCGGCTCCGACAAAACGTCGTTCTCCGATTGAAAGCGCGCCGCCGTAGCAGTCACCGAACCGTCGTGAGCGTTTTCACCGTTCCATCCCGCCGGCCAACCGCCGAAACGCTCGTCCGGTCCCGTGTAAATATTCGTACGCAGATGTATACCGCCGACCCGAGTTTCAGCGGACAGATTTTTTTTTTTTTTCGGATAAGAATCATCATCGCGTGTCCATACGATAACGTTCCCCCGCGCAACGCCCCACGTCCCGTCACGAATAAACGTTTTCAGAACTTCACGTACCAAATCAACACACACGTGCGCGTTGCCCCGTAGTTTAGGAGCGGTAAACGAGAACCCATTCTTTCGGATCGTACGCGTTCACCGGACGAACCGACATCAAACAATAACGTGTCTGACCGAAACGTTTCGCGTACAATTATCAGTATACGATTTTGTACAATGTTTTGTCATGTGCACAGTTCACTATCGATTGATTATTATGAGCTCCGCGGTACAGTAGGTCAGTGCACGGACACAGTACATAATGTAACCACGCTGTACGCCCGATATCCGTTTGTAAAATAGCACGTGTTTTAATCTGTAAATATAATAGTGATTACAATTTCCACACAATACGATAAATAATGTAGTATTGCGAATTCCATAATATTGTATTACATGTATACATTCATAATATAGATTAACACTATAAATTTAAAATTATTTTAAGCGACTATATTTATTGTGTTCCGAATCTAGACGTAACACTTGAATATAATAAATTATTATTACTATTATTACTATCATTATCATTATTATTATCATTATAGGACTCTATATACTTTCTACGTTATTTTTATTTTTTTCATTTAATAAAAATACAAATGTTTGCTTATATTGTTTTAAAAATTTAAATAAAATAGTAGTGTCGACTATGTATTGGTGTTTTTTTTTCTCGTTCATACGTTTGAAATCCGATTCCTCGGGAGTGAAACTTACGTTGAAATCAATGTTTTTGTTTTCGATTGCCCCTCTCGTCGTCCATATAAAATATAATATGTGTCGCACAAAAGTAATTGTACACCGCCATGTTGAGTGTGTCACAACTCTTTGAATGTAAAACACTCTGAGATGACAAACACTTTATGAACAGGACGGATGATACAGAAATTGTTTTTATTATTTACATCGATAATTCGACGCCGGTTGAAAAATAAAATCAGCGACAGCAGTTACAATATGAGCAAAATACGAACAGTTTTTTTTTTACTTACCTAATTGTATTTATCACGGTAGTCAATTTTTTTTTTAAACAAAAAAATAAAAATATTCATCAATACGGATTAGTTTATAAATTGTACTTTGATTCAATGCGAAAAAATGTATTTCAATGATTTTATTCAGAATAATCGCTGTAGTGATATCATATAAAATTATAATATGAACAATGCAGTGACGTTGTATTCCAGGAATGATAAAATATACCGTTATAATAATAAAATAATGATATAGTATGTTTTGATTGTATATTTCATTTATTTCCATCACAGTGTATATGATTGCATCGACAACTGTTCAAGCTGGTGTTAATGAAATAAGATAATATAATTCAAACGCAAAACAAAAAAATTCGTAAGTACAACGGTGCGATAGTTCTTTCAAAAGAAAAATTATCGTTAACACACGTATAATTTTATATAATGGCTCTGGAAAAGCAATCTTTAGACGGTCTATTGCGAAAAGAGTGGCCATACCTCGTTTGTAAGTAGCAAATAATACACATTCAATTTATATAACTGTGCGTCTATAAATTACGTCTTTAATTTAAAAAACTAGTGAACTAGCATGTATCAAAAATGATCTTAAAACAAGTAACATTTAAAGTCGATCGCATGAATATTTATTGATACACAAAGGAAAATATACAAACTTTGATGATAAGCTTTACGTATTAATGAAGACTTACTTGTTGAATGTTGAGAAAAACTCTCCTTATAATCCACTTGTACAGTTGTATCTTCCATTCTACTCCCTACCAGTCAATTGTGCCGATTAAAACGAAAACGGTAAGAGACCTATTACAGAGGGGTGGCCAATGGATGATTTTTTTATCAGCATATTAATTCCATGTAATATATTCATATAATAATTCCATATTTATTATATATACTTATTACCATTATAAAATTATAACAATTCGCAAATAGCTATTTAAAAATGATAATAAAATATTTTAAGAAATCATATGATATTTAGATGGTAATATGACAAAAAGATCTAAACTACATTATCAAAGTTTTCAGGAGGGCAAAAAAAAAGGTTTTTATGTTGTTCTTAACTTCAAACTATAATAACTTTTTTTTTAAGTATTCACATTTTTTTATAAGTACATTTTTAATTATTTTTTTGTTGTTTTTACGGTCATGTTTTAAATTAGTTATATTTAATATTAAAGTATAGGGAACAAATTGAATAAAATAATTTGAATTTTTGTCGCTTGTATCCAAATTATTTATTGATAATGAATGTTTTTATCGATTATTTCTTACTAATTTCATTCACGTATATTTCATCATTTTATAAATAAATGCAACTGTATAAGATACGTTTTTTATAAAAGAACGTATGATAAAAACGTAAGTATATAAGATATAAAAAATAAATACAATTACTATGTCAATAACCTTACATTTTTAGCAATTTGAGTTAATACATATTAATAAAAATCAATAGTACTATATATTTTAAGTTTGGTATAATATTAAAATATTACCTATAAGTTTAAATAAGTTTAATAAGTTTAAGCTTATATTCTTAATAAGTTTAAGTTTTTATTACTCATAAGTTTTATTATTACCAATGAGTCCATTGTTCATTTATAGGACTTTGTCAAAGAACTTATGAAATTTTATGATGAAAACAATAAAAAAAAAACTTAACAAATAAAAAAAAACGTAGTAACAAAAATTAAAAACGCTATAGTTTTTAATTTACTTTATAGTAGGTGTGCACTATAAAGTACAATAAAATATGTTCTTATTAAATTATAATTTTATCCTGATGCCGAATCTACACTGTAATTTGTATCTGGTAAGATATAATTCATGGTCAGGTCTAACTACAAGAAATTTCATTTGATTTGGTATGTATAATTACACTAGTCTAGATAATTACAACAAAATAAATCAATTTTGAAAAATGAAATTTTGTTGATCATAAACCATTGTAGTAAATTATTTTGAGTTAATCAATTCAATGTTTGTCGATTGCTTTATGCACTTATAATAATTATTATAATTTCATAAATTAACAAAATATCGTTGGGTCCTCATATATTTTATGCTATTAGTGTTTGGACCTTAAAAATGTCCATTAGTTCCGCATTTTAGAGTTTATATATTATGAAGTGTCGATTATATCTTAAATTTAAAAATTCAATTATTCATATAAAATGATCACATTGAAGAACCAGTCATATATTTTGTTCCGCATAAATCTTCTCTAACCGATAATAACTAAAACATCGCCTAGACCCTAACCCGTTGGCGTCCGAATTATTATTTTATTTTTATTTTTACATAATAATTGTCTGTTGCCGATATTTACCCAATTTTACCGTATCAATTTATTTAAAACTGTGTGCCGCCCTAAAGCAACGCATGACTTGTTGCTTGTGCCCCAGCGACGAGACTGTTGATAAACTTACGTATTATCGTTTTCTCGCGTCGAGTTGCATATAAACGTTTACGTACAATAAACCGTTAATAAATAAAGCGTGGACAATTATCGATATAATAACAACCGTAGTCCACGTTTTGTTTCGCTGCGGGAAGGTAACACAAACGCGTGGTTTTGGCCGTACGTAGTACACGGTGTGCTAATTATAATATTACGATGGCCGATTGCTATGGTGGTATTCGTTTTGTAACGCCGGACCCGCGGCATGCCGGGTTAATGTAAGAGGGGTGCGCGTGTCTTTACGTGCCACCGTGGCAAAGGCGAAAAGGGACGGTGATCGCGACGACGACGGTGGCGTGGAAAAACCGGAGGTGTTATTCGCCAAATTAATAAGGTTTATACCTTGCGGCATGGTCTGCGAGGTGGATGTTCCAATTACATCACAGCAGACTTGTCAAAGAGTATCCACAGGCCCTGCCCTCCGGGGCAAATAGACGTGTCAACCGCAGTGGAATATCAATTTTCTGGGTACATGCGATTCAATTTAAATCTGATTAACTCGCGCGCCCCACCCACCCGTCCGCCGTGAAATACACATTTTGAAAATACCCAATACACTATAATAGTATATATAAATATATCGGTGACGAGGCAACTTCTCTTATTTTTTCCCTACTGATATCCATTGTTCGCAGCACATCGTTTTTTTCAATTTCCCGCGACACCTCTTTTGTCAACATTATACAATCTCGCACCAATGATGAAATATATAAGTGGTAAATGCGTACATTGCGTTTATTGTAAGAAATATATTTATATATGTATAGGTTCTTGTGAATTTCTCCGGGTTGAGAAAAAAATAAAAAAATATGAACGGAGCGCGAACAGCCAGGACTTGATGGGAAATTAAAAAAAAAAATAATAGTAGATGTACATGATTACTGTCCTAGTTTTCGGAAAAATCGTTTCGTTAAAATTAATTAAAATTGAAAATAAAAATCATTTATATTTTAAGTCTCCGTGGAGCTGATTGAAAGAAAAAAAATATTGAATAATTTAGATGGTAAATATTTTTCCAAAAAATTAATTATTTCTTGAATTTCACCAGTTAACCAATCAATTAATAGTATTTAAATACTGCGTAAAACTTACATGATTTTCGATATAGCTATTAAAATGTATTTAATTTTTAAGATATTTCTATAGAATATTAATATAATTATAATTAATATTATGACGACAGCAATTTGATTAACTTTTTAATATAAATTATATATTAAAAAACTAAAAATTATTATAGGAACATAGAATATTTCCTAAGGTGATGGATGTAACAATATTTAGAGAAATCGAGTACTTACTATCATTGATGGTTTATAAAACAAATTATAGAAATTATTGTGCGTATTCACACCGTCAACTTGTTCAAACAGACAAAAATAAATAACATTTTTCAAAATCCATCGAAATCATAATAAAGTAATAGGTAGTATCACTTGACTAAAACAATTCACTACCTAATGGATGTTAACTCCTATATATAACCTGCACTTAAACAGATCTCTGTTATAACTTATTACATAATCCTACCTTTGTATTTTAGTTCCATTGTAGTGTATTTGAAACTAACAATGAAGTGTTAGGTTTGTTCACTGAGTACAAATAAACATAAGGATTGTGTTAAAGAACTAATTTCGGTGAATATTCTATTGTGTTATATCATTAAACGATATATATAGTATCGATTTGTTTCAACAGAAAGGATTCAAAGTATTGAATAACTAAATAAAATTATCAGTACACTATAGAATTCTTTAGGTCCTATGTACGAGTATTTTTATTATGATTTGTCAATTATTTAGATTTAAAATATATAATTTATGATTGCTATTTATCATACCTTTGGATTTTGATATTTTCGGTTTCATTGGACATTTACAACGTACATTATACGTTAAAACGATATCATACTAAAGCGATACATTGATAAAAAATGATATATTTTTACAGTACCATAGTATAATTTCAATCAGCGTACTCGTGTGTCTGCTGCAGTGGCCAAAAAAGTTCAAAATAATTAGCAGAGTAAATCAGAATTTCGTTAATTCATTCATGGAGTCTCTTATTCAGTAGGAAAAATATCTGTTAATAAAAATGG